GGAATGGGGGAAAAATGAGAATCAAGAGAGATTATGTAAAGGTGCAAATTTCCAATGATGAGTATCATTATATTGTAAACCTAAAATGTACCAATAAAATAATATTAAACAACAACAACAAAACAGAAAAGAACAAAGGCTGAAAACCAAAGAAGTGAGGGTCCATCTCAACAAGTTAAAAAAAACAGAATAGCAAACTAAGGAGGAATAAATACAAATGTAGAAGTGAGGAAGGTAAAACAAACAGAAAGAATAGAAATAACTGACGACCAAATGTTGGTTCTTTGCAAAGATGGTTTCTTGCTGAGCCTACTCAAGAAAGAGAAGGCAAAAATAAACAGGACCAACGATGAAATAGGGCACATTCCTGCAGGCATTATACATACTATGTAGATGAAAGAATATTACATTATGACAGTAAATTTGCAAATGAAAATGAAATACACTGCTACAACACTGATTCTCACAGCATAGTGTGCAGACCTATCGGGGGTACCCAAGACCCTCTTAGGTAATCCATGTGGTCAACATTACTTTCAACTACTGCCTTTTTTTTTTTTCTGGCACCGGGGATTGAACTTGGGACCTTGCACTTGTGAGGCAGGCAGCAGAACCACTGAGCTAAATCCCCGGCCCTCTAACTTCTTTTTTACTAACTGTACCAACATTTACAATGATTGTACAAAAGCAGTGGTAAACACTGCCTCAGCAGCAATCAGGCAATGGCACCAAACTATAGTAATAGGTTTGATAGTCTTTTATCCTAAATACTTGGGAGGAGTTTTTCTGATTTTGGAGTTCTTTGGATTTTGGGATATTTGCTTAATTTTCTATGTTGAGCATTTCTTGTTTGACAATCTGAAATTTGAAACTTTTTGAACCATAAGCACATCAGATTTTCAGATTAGGGATGCTCAACCTGTAGTTGCCTTTAGTGCTCACTTTAGCAACACACATACTAAAACCTATTAGTAGCCTTTATATTCTTTACCACCATGCACTCACGGTGGGGGGTCAGTTTCACTTAAAAATGTCCTTGATGTAGTGAAAATGATTAACTTTATTAATCTTACTCGGGCCAGGGGTTTAGCTCAGTGGTTCCACTGGCTGCCTGCCAAGCACAAGGTCCTGAGTTCTATCCCCCGTACAAAAAAAAAAAAAAAAAAAAAAAATTCTTATTCCTTTAGAAAACATTTTGGTATCCTATATGATGAAATGGGAAATATACAAAAAACACATCTTTAGCATAATCAAGCACATACAGTTTTCTTAAAGAAAAGCCTTGTGTGAGGTATTGACCCCCACTTAAGCTATTCACCCCCTACCCCACAGTACTGGGAAATGAACCCAAGCCCTTCACACTAAGCTTTCCTTAGATCTTAAAAACATTTTTTTTTTTTTTTGCAGGGTCTCACTGCTACATCCTCACACTCTTAAAAAAAAATTCTGAGACAAGGTCTCAGTTTCCCGGTCTTGGCCTGAATCTGTGATCTGCCTACTTCAGCCTCCCAGAGTACTGGGATTAACAGGTGTGCACCACTATGCTTGGCTGTTAAGTCATTTTTTTTTCCTGGAATGCCGTTTTTACTTCAATGATTGGGACAAACTATAATGATTCAGAGTTCAGTATTTGATAAATGTTCTCTAAAATGGATTTAGCCTATTGTGTCACGTAAAGCTTGACAGTATTTATGGGCAATGATAAAATTTGAGCTTTCAAAAAAAACTGGAAGTTTAGAAAACTTGTATGATAGCTTTGTAGCTTCCTAATAAGTGTTTCTGATTAAATCAATGTTGACATGAACAAATGTTTTTTACATAGTATAAAATGTGTCAACATTTCAAAACTCTGCATAACTCATCTTCTAAATGACCGTAAGTCACAGATTCATTCCAAGTAAGATAAACCAGGAAATTTCAGTGTAACCTAAGACAAATGGAATTTCATATTGAAACTAACCTTTCAGAAACTTCCACTTGTCAAATTTTAGTGTATGATCAAGAGAAGACCCCCAATTATCTGAAAGGGCCATTAAAATACTCCTCTTTTCCAATTCACCTCCAACCAGGAAGAGGGAGAGTGAGCAAGCTGTTTTCTTTACATACTGCAACCTAAATAATACAACAGACTGGATGTAGAATATATGGGTCTAGATGTCTTACACAATTTTTTTTTAGCTTGGAAGCATTGCTTTTGAAATAAAGATGTTAACATGTATTAATTCATTTAGAAATAACAGTATCTTTAAATTAGCTTGTTTTAACTCCTAAGCAAATACAAACCACATAAGCAAATGGTCTTTGTGGGTTGTAATTTTTAAAAGCATAGACAGCCTAACACCAGAAAGTTTGACAACTTACCAAAACTGACTAAATAGAGAAAGAAAACATGAATAGACCTTAAACTGAATCCAAACTCAAAAGCCTTCTCCCAGAGAGCACTGTAGGTCCAGGTGGTTTCACTGATGAATTTTTTAAGTATTCAAGGTCTAAATAGTTCCATGGAAAGAAGTAGAAGTGTCTTGAGAGAAGACAGGCCTGAGGAAGAGGGCAAATACTGGAACCGATGTTCACCTCAGTTTCTGTTGGGTTATTTTAGGTCTGCCTGGGATACATCCTAAAAAAAAAAAACACTTCTTAGGTGGTATGAGTCTTTGTTTCTTGAGAACCAAACTTGAGTCCTGGAAAGCAATGCACAGATTTCTTCTGAATACAGTGGTCAGTTACTTGTGTACTATGTGGCAACCATGCATAATGGGCTGGGATCTGATTGTTAGAGCCAGTCATGGTAACTCCAGTTTCCTTGCCAGTGATTGCTTTAGGAAATCTGGACATCAGGATAAATTAAGAATCTGGTGTTATGTCAAATCTGTATTAATGGGATTCAAGGAGAAATATGTTGAGGCTTCTAGGGATGTTTCCTCTCAAGAGGTAATAGATGTGGTTTTTCTCTTTCTGGATGATGATGTGTATAGAATGAACTCAAGAACCAGAGACAGCTGGCTCTTGCCTGAAAAGTAAGCTAGTACGCAAAAGATGGTGAAGTAGAGAAAATTATAGGTAGGCAGAGCCGGAGTAACCTGAATAACCAAGGCTGAAACCCTCACCTACCTTCTTTTTGGTAGTAAGCACATCTACTCTTCAGCAACTTTGAATTTTCATTCTTGCACCCAAGTAAACTTATTATTATAGAATTAAAGAAAGTCTTACAGTGCAAATGTACAAAGAGTCAGCCCCGTGTTTATAACCTAGACAAATCTGCATTTTGACTAAAGGGGCACCTTACTTTAGACATTTGTACTACACTGTACAATTACTGTGACATCTGTGACATTGTATTACTTGGTATATACGGAAGAAGTGATAACTGTGTAACAATAAACTAACAATATTATGAACACTATACTACAGTGGTATCTATACCAGGATATTGAATTTATATGATTAAAAAGGTTGAGTATTTGCTTCAAGATGAGACCAGAGTTGATTCTTTAGTGGGTCACCTAATTATGTATCCATACAATTGTAGTCTTTGGAAGCAAAAAGGAGTCCTGGACTAAGGAGTCCCTTTGTCATAGTTTGCTGGGCACTGAAACTAAGTGGTCTCTTAAAAGTCTTCCAGACAAGATAGATTCATCTCTCACCACTGTACATCTATCCTGAGAAATTAGAAAGCAATCTAGGGATCCTCCAGCATCAAATTACATGTACATTTTCCTGAAGCATGCAGTCTAATTATAATTAGTTGCTTTTGATAAGCACTTATAAAGGAGGAAATAAAAAATATCTTGTATAAGAGCTGACTGAATGAGCTGGGTGTGGCAATACACCTGTCCTGTGGTATCAGCACTTGGGAATCTGAGGCAAGAGGATCAACAAGAGTTTGAGGCTGGCCTAAGCTACACAGTGAGTTCAAGGCCAGTCTGAATTACATAGCAAGACCTTGTCTCAAAAACAAACAAAAAAAGCTGACTGAATAACCACGATTCTACATTCAGTTGTGCTCTTACTTCACAGAGTGCTGCTTTTCCCTATGCCAAGGAACAGCATGCCTACATGGTGGGATTCAATAGCTATGGCCACCAAACAGTTTTGGGTTCTTTAGGAGGAAAAGTCCTAAGTAAACTGGATGTTAAGAATAAAGAGGTTTCGCCAGGGATTTAGCTCAGTGGTTCCGCTGCCTGCCCCGCAAGCACAAGGACCTGAGTTCTATCTCCGGTACTAAAAAAAAAATAAAAATAAAGAGGTTTCATTAGGCCCAAATTTCATATCAATAGCTCCTTCAATTTTTGGTTCCAACAATGCAACACACTAACACAGGGAATTCCTTTTTTGGAAACGTGTTTCATTTAAAGATGCTTCCTATCACTACAGAGAAAGCATCCTCTAACACTTAACACTATGTTTCCAGTTGTGCCACTATGATCTGGAAAGGAGACAACAAACTGTTTGGGACTCTGATGCAGAAAGTAAATAATCTGTATCCTGCCAATTCTGACTGTTACTCTTAGCTAAAATGATGTGATAAAGGCTTAATAAGTGACTTAAAAATCTACATCTATTCTCATTCCAAGTTAGACTGCATCTTAAGTAAATATATGTGAAGTTCACTGGGTTACTATACACACTAAGTGCATTAACTAAGTTGGTACTTGCCTTTGATGACCATAATTCTTTCTTCTGTATTGGTATATACTATGTAAATGAACACACACATATTATCATCCTATTTGTTCCACCTAATGGGGTATCATTAATAAGTAACTTCCAGTTCAATTCAGAAGGTGAGAATTACAACCTTTCTACCAAGAGTGAAGGAGAGCCTTTTATAAAATAGGGAATATGCACTCTTCTATGAAACAAACTGCATGTTTATAGGCCAAAAGACTTTTGTTTAAAGTGATTTCTTCAGAACTAAGTGTATGTTTTAAGAATATGCCACACAAACCTTAAGGTAATGCATTCAAGTTTTTCTTAATTTGATAAAAATGAACAGAGGACAAAATGAAAAAACAATTTATTTCCTGTGTTTTATCCACTGTCAATACTGTACTTTTGATGCAATATATTTGCCAAAAAACCCATCAGCTTTTATTTTCCATTTTAAACAACTACAATATTTACAGGTTTAGAATAACATTCAGACACACACACACACACTCACAGACACGCGCAAATACATACATATATCCTTATCTCTGGTTTACACTGAATGCTGGTAAAGGCGATGAACACTTTCCAGAGCCCATGATCAGAAAAGGGAGACCTATTTTTCTTTACTCTCCTGGAGCCATTTTTAATATTCCTCCTTCCATTTCCTCATGTGGAGCTCATTGCCAGCCTTATACAGGGTTAACAATTATTTTTTACAATTTACTTTTAAACTATAAGCTTTTAAAAAGCATAAGCAGATACAACCCTCTCCCTTTCTATTATTTTGGTTGTAGAATCAAGTTTCATATATTTAAAAAAATGTTGTTCAGCCATAAGTATACTAAACCCAAGAGTCATCTGGAGCAGCCATCTCCTTCTCTACTACTCTTCTGTTCTGAATTCTAGGGCATCGGCTCATCTGCACAAGTAACACCCAGGAATTCATCCCAATACATGTCAGATGACCTCTGTTCCTTCCAGCATGGCTCCACTGAATTATAAATTGTCGCGTACAGAGCTGAGGCATATGAAAAAAGTAAACCCTATGTAATAGGTATAAGTCTTAGAACAAAGTTGCCATACAATCTTGCAGTGACAATCAGCTCTAGTTCCCCCATGGAGCATTATGTTGATCTCACAACAGGGCCAATAATGAAGTTCAGCTCACAAATGAGTTATTTACTAATTCAGAAAGAATATGTGGCTTACAGATAACACAAAGAAAGTCCATAACACATAATTCTTGACCGGTGACTCTGGTGAGGTGATTCATAGCAGAAAATATACCTCTGTTTCAAGCAAAATTAATACTCTATGCATATCCTACCAAATCTATTTTATAATAATTAATTCCTTTCCAATTACAGTTCTTACCTAAATATTTAACAAGGTTAAAATAATAAGACCTGGTTGTTTATCACCTACCATATTTATAAAAGAAATGAAGCAAAGAGGAGCTGGCTTTTCAATGCTTATTTTTTTAAAAGGTTACACATATCCAACATAGTATTAAAATTTATGCTGCCTAAATATATGGTAATATCTAATTTCTTGTTTCCCCTGCTCAATAAAAATCTATATCCATATAAGACTAACACAGACAATTCAAAGTCCATTAACAAGTTCCATGTACCATCTTATCCTTGACATTTTTCTCTCTGCTGATCTTAGAGTGAAAGGGAAAGCCTCTGGAATAAAAAAAAGTATTTTATATCTTATTTGAACAACGGAAGGTTAAATGAAAAAATTAACTGTGTCTGTGTTTGGACAGAGTAACTTTATATGATTGCATCACATTATGAAAGAGAATGAGAGTTAAATACTGAGGATTCAAAAAGCACCCCTGGCCCAAATAACAAAAACCAGAAAGGGGTTTGTTTATATTTATGAAAAAGTAATTCGAATATAACAATCTGGGGAGCGGTTTAGGAGTTAGTCAACATAAATTTTTTAAATTCCCACATAAAACTACTATTATTTATTTTCTCAAGTCACATATTTATTTAGGATGAAATAGGCTTAAAAGTTGGTTCAAATTTTAAAAAACACTATTTTAGACAAATCATAAGATTAAACAACCCAGTTCTGGATGAACAACGCAGTACAACAATACACCAAATGAAATTTCTAAGCAGAAGTGGAAGAATGCTGCTTAGAGAAAAAGTAGAATTTATTAAGGCTAAGTTATCCTTGTTTAGATGTGAAGGTGTATTTTATATTTTGATAGGACATAGGGAAAAGGAATATTTCATTTTTTAATAAGCTATAGTTTCCTATATAAAAACTTGTTTTTTCATTGCCTGACATCTGGTACCCAGAATATTTTTAAATTTATCTTTCGGGATAGAAATATTGTCTGATATTTTCTGTTTCAAGGATTAAAAGGTATTTCAGATATACTTGAAATATTTTTTTAAATACTTCAAGTCTAACAGAATTTAATATTCTGGCAATGAAGGCAGATATGCTGATTAACTGTGTTCACTAATTTCTTCAGCAGTAATTACTTTTCTCTTATCTTAAAAAACTATACAGACACCCTCACCATCACTCTCTCAAATTCCATAAATATCAACATGTTATGTTAATCTAGATTCTTGGAAAAATTAAAGCTTTTTAGTAAAAAGTCAACATTTAAAGTTATCAAGTATTGAAAATGGTATACAAAGAGTTCACACCAAGGTAAAGGTAAAAGATTACCAAAGGCTTAATTTGGAATTATAAAATGGTTTTGTCACTGAGTAAGAGGAAAAAACTTTTAAAAAAGGTAACCATTTCCAACTTATGCCAGGTTACTCTCTCAAAAGGAGAGTAAAAAAAGAAAACACAAAGGATTCAAACACACATCTGTACTTAAAGAAAGTAAATAAAAAGGTAATGTTTTAATTACATATGTTTGGTTCTAAATTATGGAACTCTGAAAAATTTGAAAATTATGAACTAAAATGAATGAAGTCTTGTACACTAATGAAAATGGTTAAGGAGAAAATCTAAACAAATAGCTTATTATTTCTGTGGGGAGGAGCCAAATTGTATGTCAGTTTATTATATAGAAAAACATGCTTTATAATATGGATCAAATTATTAAGACATGAGTCTTTAATTATCATTATTTTCCTTGATATAATTAGAAAAGTGTTATAATTTTTAAGACTATCAGTTTTAGACTTAAAAAAAGAATGGAGCTTCTCTTAGGGTTCCTAACTTATAAATTCATTAGTTATATAATAACAAAAGCCAACTTTTGAGAAAAATGTTCACCAACTGCTATTCTGAAGTAAGACTCAATATATATGTTTCATACAAAACCCAGTCTTGTATTTGGAATCTAGCTTTTCAGTATATATAATGTGTCTAACAATTTGGGGGAGGGTGGCTAGGAATAAACAGAATTCTAGCCTTTCTGAATGAATCATCTCGAGTTCTAATTTTTTTGTTTTTCTTTTTCTGTGTGGGAAAACCGATCATCTCCCATCTAGGATTGAAAAGCCTCCATTTAACTCTGCATCCAGGCAATGATCATGAAAAGATCATATTCATTTCAGAGAGGTGGTGAGTAGCAGGGAACATAATTCGTTTGAGAAGATTTACAATAGATCACATTTGCAGTGTCAAAAAAACCCACAAACCACTGAACTTATACTGTAGATTTGCCAAAATGAGGAAAATTTAGAATATAATGACACCATTAGAAAAACACATTTTTTAAATGGTCAATTTAAAAAGGGTTCCTTTGTGTAAAGGCTGGGTAAATCATTTGACAAATATTTCTAGGCAGTAAAATTTGCAAAGTGTGAAGTCTATGGAAATGTCAACAAAAGGCACATTGGGTTCTGAATGAGCACAAATTTTAAAATTAGAAAAAAAAAAAAAAGGTTTGAAGTGGAAATGGAGGAAGATTCTGTATATCAGCTATTTACTTTCTCAGTTCCCATCCCCTCCACTGCCATGTTATGCTACTGTGAGATGTACATCAGAACCAGAGGGAAAAATACCTTTCTTCTTACCTCATTGAAATATACTATAAACTTTTGGGGTCCAATACAGTAGCCACTAGGCACATGCAGCTACTGAGTATTTGAAATATGAACAGTGCCACATGTTGAAATGATAATACCTTGGATATACTGGATTAAATAAAATATATCAAAATTAATTTTACTCGCTTCTTTTTACTATCTATTCTTAGGGGGTAGAGAGATGGCTGCTCCTAAATGCTCAGAGATGGGCAGTTTTCTTTGGCATTTCAAACCAAAGTGGAATTTTTCTGAAGAATTTAAAAATGCTAAAAGTTGAAAATTAAATCTAAATTGCAGTTCTCATTTAGCCCAATTGTAAATCTGAGTTATGTATTTCCCTGAATATAATCTTTTAAAAAAATCAATATAATTTATGAGACAACATATGAATTAAGTCAATTTCACAGTTATAAATATTTCAAATTGCAAGTACACTATAAATTACAGGAAATAAAATTCAAGTACTAGAAAAAAAAGGGGAGATGGAAATAAAAAGCAAAGTTATTAATGAGGAATATATTGATAAGAACTGCACCATTGGATAATTTTGTTTGAAAAAATTTTACTTGAGAAACTGAACTTCATAATAAGTAACTTCAAGAACTAAGACTCTTAAAATAAAAAGCAATCAACCCTGTCTTTAAATTCCTGGACAGTTACCCTTTTTCTTTAAAAAGTAAAAGCATTTTCTTCCCAGAACCAAGCCCAGCAGAGCCTGCCCTGTGCAGAGAAGCACTGGGGACAACACACTGGGAGCTCATCTGAGATGTGGACACAGTAGCTGGCAGTGGTGTTCACATGACTGATCCGCTGACCACTGGCTCCGGGAAATGTCAAGGATGAAGTTATGTGTAGCTTGAGATTTCGTATTCATCTTAAAGAACACATCCAATGTACTGGCATGAAGTATAGACTACTAACAAAAAAACCGAGCAGCACAGTTCCTGTTAACTATATCAGAAAGGGAAGGGTTAATCCCAAAGGCAATTTAAATAATGGTATTTTATTTTATATATAAATAAACATTCTGAGAAATCTCAGAATTTAGTGCATTGTAAAAAATTAGTGCAGTTTTTTCCATTAAAGTTTATAGCTTTCAAAGACTAAGATAAATCTACCTCTGTTCATCTTCTTTCTTGCTGTACATTAAACTTTTATACTGGTATGTATCAAATCGAACACTTCTACATGGGTCTGTTTGTAAAAATCAATGACAATGGATTTCATGTTCCATGACAAAACATGGCAATTATTTTTGGCAAACAAATTAGAAAAATATGAGATTGTAGTTTAGAAATGAAGAGTTTGTTGATTTAAAGCATAGGCAATGCATAGGAAAAACATTTTAAAGATGTATTTCAACAGAAATTTATCCTTCATGCAAATGTTTTCTCAGCAGCTAACTTAAAAAAATATTTCAGCTTTATCTGGGGATGAAGACAGGGTGGAGGATGAAGGAGAGGTGCTTAGCCACATCAGTGTTCTCCAGGCTCTCCCACATAGGACTGAAGGGATCCCTGCAGGCATCTTCTGCTTGCTCCTCTCTTTTTCCAAGGTCTCAGAAATGAGACAGTAAAGAAATGCAGCTACAAAACACCGGCTCATACTTCAGCCCCAAGTTCTAGTACCCCAGTTTCAATTACAGTCACATATTTGTCATCAATCTGGACCAGAAGCACTGCCTTGTCGATGTGGGATCTCGTACCTGGATCTCTGCTGCAAGGCACCCATCGGTGAATCACCTGATAATTCAGAACAAAGCAATCAGTTAATGAAGGAGACCCTGTGCACACTCACAAACTCTTATTCCTCAGGAGTGGAGGGAGCAATTCGGTTTGAGAATTAAGCACAAATATATAAATCAGCTAAAATCATGAGTACAAGCGAGTCAGACTATAAAAGAGTCACAGCATGTAAGAAAACTTACATGACCTTCCATGCCCTCCTGAGGACTCCACTCTTTCCAGCTGTTTCTTCCAGCTTTTAATCGAATTCCCTCATCAGGCCACTGCAGCTCTTTCCTTTTTGACAAATTTATCCCTTCCAGAATCTGACTGGGATCCACGATCTAAATTGTAAATAAGTAAGAATTATTCCAATTCATTTTTTTCCTTGATGAAAAATAACATAATCCCAAACAAAATTTCTTTCCTAAGACTCTTTGTATTTCAAGTTCTTTACTGTACATAATGAAATTGTTTTTAAATCTAAGGAGCCACCTCTCCCAATCTTTTCAGCTACTTGGAGACCTTACTGAACAGGCATGTGTCAATGCTGAATAGGGATTGAGTATCACCATAGCAAACCCAGCTTGCTTTATTCATTTTAAGCTGGCAGAAACTTTTCCCCAAATATTCAACTAAATATTCTAAATATTCTGACAAATAATATAAGGGATATTTTCACAAGAGTCCTTCAGTCAGCAAGTAAGACAAAAACAAAAGAGCAACAGAAACAGCGCAAGAAGACCTCTGCGCTTACTCACTTGGACTCTGTAAATCATTTCCCCCTTTCTGGCATGTGAATTACTGGCAGGACTTAAGGTGTTCCCTGGTTGGGCATCAGTGGCACTGCTCTGACCTCCCTCTGTCCCAAGAAAGCCCACGAGAGTGTGATGTTTGCAAGCTGGGATGCTTTGGCTGGAGCTGCTGGAAGAGGGAAGGCCATGCTGCACACAGGCTGCACTCTGGCTGGAGGGCTCCACGGGGTTCACCATAGACAGGCGGGACTGGATGGATGATGGCAAGTTTCGAAGTGATATCTGGCTGGTGGAAGAGCGCCGACAAGGCACAAATCCTGTGGTGGACATCCGGAGGGATGAATGCCGGCTGCTGTAGCAATAGGAAGACTGGCTGGCTACGGAGGCCCGAGCAGGGGACTGTCTGACCAGGCTTGATTGCACAGAGTGAGTGCTGTGGCTGGTGCCTGGAGGGAGCAACAAGAACAACCTTCACTCCAAGCAGAGTCACCCACCACGTTTTTCTGCTACAGTTTCTAACCTGCTCCCTTTAGCAATCACTTAGTAATTTCACAAAACTTGGTATTTATGCCCCAAATGTTTAAAATTATCAAAAGTAAATAAATATCTGAGATCTGTTTTCTTGTGTGGTTTTTGTAATGTATTCTTATTTCCTAAAGTTTTTTTTTAAAAATTCACGCTCTGGGTTAGGGTATAAGACAATTTTCAGCAGACATCAGGATTTAGGTTGTGATAAATCCTAAAATATCTCACAAAAATATTTTAGAAAAACAAGAAAGACTCTTTAATACATCAGAAATGAAGTATCTCATGGAAATGAGACAGAAATATTTAGAAGGAAATACTGCATGATCTCACTTACATGTGGAATCTAAAAGAGTTGAACTCATAGAAGCAGAAAGTAGAGAATGATGTTTGCCAGGAGAGGGGAGAAGAGAAGTGAAGAGATGCTGATCAAAGGGTATAAAGTTCCAGTTAGGCAGGAGGAGTAAGTTTTAGAGATGTATTATTGTACAGCATGGTTACTATGGTTAACAATATGTTGTATGCTTGAAAATTGTTAAGTGAGTAGATCTAAAAATGTTATCATAAAAATGATATGTAGTATATGAAGTGATAGATGTATTAAGAAGCTTGACTTAATCATTTCATTATGTATTCAAATATCAAAGTATCATGCTGTATACCAAAAAATATGCACAACTTTTACTTGTTAATTAGGAAAAGACAAATATTTAAGGACCTTCCCTGTGGCAAGTTCTACAGCTACTATTTTTCAAAGTACATTCCTCCCCTTTCAATCTATTCCAGTGACGAGTTACCCCCCTACAGAAACAATGAACATCACAGTCACTTTATGCATATACTACTACTGAAGGTAAATTATCAGTGATACTGAATAGCAGATTCTTTCACATCCTTCAAGTAGCTTTTGGTGATTCTCAATGTTTTTCTGACTAATACGAGTAATGTGAAAATCATCAGGAAGTAATCATTAATTATACTGAAAACTTAGCCTTATGTACTTTATACCTGAAAATAAAAAGCTAATCAGTGCAAAAATGTGTATTTTAAAAAGCCCATTGAAAGTTTCTGATTTTTACTGAGAAGAAAAAAAGAACATCATGAATGTTGATCATAGATCTCTACTTAGTCTTTTTTTTTTTTTTTAGATCTACTTAGTCTTAATTATCATCTCATTGGAATTGTTTCTTAAAGCTGTATCTGCTCCTTGTGTGGAGGCAGAGGAGAGACAGTGCTGACTCTACTGACTAAGTGCAGGGAAGCATATGAAGCCTGATTTGTGCTGCACTCCAGGACGACTGGAGGCCTCCTGTCAAAGGTAAATTTGTAAAAGTACACCTTCTTGTTCTTGGGACAGGGAGAGTTTTCCTTAAATAGAATTTTTTAAGAAGTGCTAAGCAAAAGGAAAAGTGAAGTGTTCTACATTAAAGGACTTCCCATTGTGAGAAGGCAAGTCACTTTACAGGAATAAAATGAAAATCAGGAGGCAGGCTTCAAAAGATATGTTCAGACACAGAACACATATAAAAATCAATTAGAGTATGACCTTGATATGCAACCATTTAACTATAAATGTCTCTAGTTTATCAATCTTTATGGCTGAGTAGTAGTACTCTATTTTATTTTAAAAAACCCACATCTTTATCCAGTCACCAGCTGATGGGCACTTGGGCTGTTTCCAAGTTTTAGCTATTACAATCTGTGTCGCTATAAACATGGGTGTGTATATATCACTGTGTTATGATGCTTTTAATTCTTTTGAGAAGATACCTAGCAGGGGAATAGGTGCGTCAAATGGGACTTAAATAGGACACACATGTGTAAATACTGAATTGTCTCTCTGGTGTGAGAAACTGAAAGTGTAAATGAGGAACAAGTGTGTAATAGATAATGTGAAATAGGAAACAAAGGTTCAAACGGGAAGGGAAAGTGTGTGTGTGGAATACGAGAAAAGAAGGAAAAATGGAAACACAGCTTTTGTAAACACGGAGGGGTGGAGGGGTGGAAGGGAGGGAAGGGGAATGGGAAAAAACAAGAACTAAGATTTATCATGTATAGATACAAATTCCCAATGATGAATGTGATCATAATGTAATACCTACAATGTACCAATAAAGTTAATTAAAAAGAAACAATAAAAGGGCTGGAGATGTAGCTCAGTGGCACTACGCCTGCCTGGAAAGCACAAGATCTTGTGTTCAAAACCCCATACCAGGAGAAAAAAAAAAAAAAAAGATAGCCAAGTAGAAAAATAGGTAAGAAACCAGTATAGACCTTCTGGAAAGAAAACATTAAAAAAATCATTAAAAACTTGCAATTTTGGGTAACAGACCAATGCAAATTAAAACAATGAAATTAAAAACCACTCCCATCAATTAGGCAGTGGGACAAACCTGTAATCCCAGCACTCTAGGAGGCTAAGGCAGGAAGACAGCAAAGTTAAACCCAGCCTGGGCAACTTACTAACTTATCAAGACCCTGTTTCAAAATAAATAAAAACAAAAGGGGAGCCAGGGATTTAGCTCAGTGGTTCCGCTGCCTGCCTCACAAGTGCAAGGTCCTGAGTTCGAACCCTGGTACCAAAAACAAAAAACAAAACAAACAAAAGGGCTGGAAATATAGATTTGTGCAAAGGCCCTGGGTCCAGTTCCCAGTACCACGAACCAACCAACCAATCTCCACTCAACATGTCTCCTGTCTTCCGCAGCAAATTGGGAGCAGAGGGGAAAAACAATGATACTCAAAGTCAGGGAAAGATCGATGAGGCAAACATTTCTTTATGGCTGCTCAGACTATCAACTGATGAGAAAACTTTCTGGAAAGATTTTCGGCATTAGATATCAAGAGTCTTATTCTTGTAAGTTTTGTCCTACTGATTTTTAAAGTCTGTAGCCTAAGAAAATATTAAGTGATTATAAAGACTTACCTACAAAGATTACTACAATATTATGTCAGAAGAAACCAAGTCACTGTCCATTAAGAAGTTAAACAACATATAATTAAATATTACCCTTTAAATTATATTTTCAAAGAATCTTAGTATTTTGAAAATCTTTTTGTCAAATATCAAGTAGATATATACATTGAGATTATACATACATATGAATAATATAAACAAACAGGATAATATAAAATTGAAAGTCGAGAAAATAATCTATATATTTCCATGTAGGTAATATGTATTTCTCTTTTTATATGCATACTAGTGGCCCCTATAGCTAAGGGGCTGACACTGCACATCTGCCTATGTATTACCGAGCGCTGGAGGGTAAGATGTGACAGGGGGATGGAGCCTCACTCCTGATCCCTGCCCAGGATTTCCAGTGCTTCCCTGGGATGTGTTGCTGTGGGGATCATTGGCAGTTGTGGCATTGTTACCAGCACAGGAAGTTCCACCTCCAATGTCAGAATCTTCGATATTGCCCCCACTGTTACATCCAGCTCCACAACCTTTCCTTAGCCTAGGAACAAATGCAAGGTGGGAAGAATTACCTCCAGATTACTTCAAATCAGATAGATTATTCTTTTTCTGATCATTCAGAGCTGTTACATACTAATGTCCACCTGCGAAAGTTGTCCTGGTGTAATCAATATTGGGAACAAAAGAAGTCTTTTTTTCAAATGGTTTAAGAACTACACCTTTTTATACTCACTGCTTCATGTCTATCTAGTGTACTTCATTTTATACTCTATCACCTTTATACATTATAATGAAGAACAGTAGAAAACATAGTTGTACCATAAAGATCACAGCTGGAAACAGAATTCTTGCCAGTGTCGGTTCAGTGACTCTAAAGTATGCAACCCCTGAAAATCTATTTACACTGGACTGTAGCAAACTTCAAGAGACTTGGTTGTGTGTCCCCCCCGCCCCCCGCCCCACAACTATAGGGCAATGAGCTGTCCTGGCTGGCTGTGACTGTCTCAATGTGGCACTGAAAACCCTGTACTTCTGTGCCTGAGACACTTGGTCTCAGGGAAACCAGAAGTGGGTACACGATCTCTATTTTTCTTAGGGAGAAAGAGCTTCACTTCTTCCGGGTTAATTCCAGCAAAAGAGGTATTTTTTTGGAAAAGAAAACTTCTTTGAAGACTACCCTGGCTTACGTTACTCCTCCTGTTCTGACAGAATCTGATGTTAAAATGGTAGGACTTACTCTTTAAGAATTGAGTACTCTCAGAAAAAAAATTTAAAATACTCAATTAAGAGTTTGCTGCTTTAATCACCAGATCCTGTTTTCCTTAAGCTCTGATATTTAAGAATCTGAAAATGATGTTCTACAATTTTTCTTACCATATACCAAACTATGATGTTCCTAAACCTTACATTATAATTTACTAGCAGAGAAGAAACTCATATGCATACTTCAACACACTGAAGATTTAGATTTGGGTGATCAGATTGTTGCACAAGGGTGGGGAGAGGGGACAGAATGTATCACAGAACCAGGAGTTAACATGTAAAGGGGGTGCCCCCTACTGCTGCAACAGAATGATAAAACTGCAAAAAGTAATCAACTCACAAGTTTCTTGTTTTTTCCTTATTTTTCCCTAATTGGCTCATACATTTTAATACTGGCAATAAGGCTGCACCAGAGTCAAAAATATTTTAAAAAGAACAAGGAATTATCCAAGGTTCTATCAAATACCAGAGCAATGATTCTTTTCTTTTTTTCGGGTTTTTGAAACAGGGTCTCATGTAGTTCAGGCTGTTCTTGAACTCACCATGTAGTCCACACTGGCCTTGAACTCACAGTGATCCTCCTGTCTCAGCCTCCCTAGTGCTGGGATTACAGGTGTGCACCACCACACCTGGCTCTAGAGCAAGGGTTCTTAATCAGAGATATTCATTACATTTATCTAATAAGATTTGGAAGATAAAAATGCTGAGATTCTGCTTCCTGAAGTTCAGATATAACAGGTTTATATTGTGCCATGGCATCTATATTTTTTTCTACAAACTTCCCAGGTGAGCTAATGCACATTGTCTCACAAGATAAAGAGGGTTAGGATGTATGCCACTCAAAAATGTAACTACATGCCTTACCTGTGCCAAGTTGACACTATGAAGTTTCTGATATTTCCCAAGCTGATAGGTCCTCCAAGAATTTCTTTGAGCTGCTCATGGCTGTCAGAGTAAGAAGTTGTCAGGGGAGAGACGAAGATCGGGTAGCCAATAGGCTGATCACAAGACGAGTTTATCATGTTTCGTAAAGCTTGCTTTGCATTCTGGATGCTACCTCTCTCTGGGTTACGGTTACGCAGGAAAACAAGTTCCTGCTGCTGCCCAGCCCAAAGACCTCGAACACACTCCTTATTCACCTAGAAAGCAAAACACATGAGAGCCAGTGAAGGGGCCAAGAAGACAACTCAGAGAACAAGACGGGCAGAAATGAAAGTGACACAATGGACAGAATGACAACTTGTTGGCAAAAGCTGGAAAAAATATAACTATCATAATACCTGAATAGGAATTAACCAGTTTTCCTTTGTTATTAGTGGACTGTTAAGTAAGAGCTCTTTCCCCTACTCTGTCTTATAAAAATATCAAATACAATGAGAAGTAGCATATATTTCAAGTTGAAAGGATTTTAATGGTATCTGAGAGCTGATTAAATGATGCAGATAAAAATAAATCATCACAAACTATCAAAATAAAACAGAAAGTAAACCTCCTAAAGCTTTGAGATATATAGGTACACATATCCCTGAGAAAAAGTTAGAGTGAATCAGTTATAGTTAGCTTCTAATCACTATCAAGCATAAATTATGCTGTTATTTTATAACCTAAGAATCACATTACCAGTATTAGCAATATGGTGACTTTTTTAATAGATGCTGCCCAAATTGCATATATAGTAGATAAAAGACCTGATATAATAAGAGGTGCCAACGCTGAAGTAAGCAAAACTTTTAAGGCTTTATAGCACTTGAGAAAATGTCAGAGAACAGAGTAAAGCACTGACTAAATAAGTAAAAAAGTACCCACAATCAATAAATGCTAAAGTAGTACGGTCATATTTATTTTTTTGTGTAAAAAGTTTCAATCACTATAAAAAACTTTGAATCAAGTTATCCAACTTCTACTTTTTTAGTAACAAATAAGTGACTACAAAACTCACTTTTATCACCCTGAAACTCAGGTATCGTCTGTTGAGCATGATGATTTTATATTCATTGGTGCCATCATCCATGACATGCCGCAGAGCGAGCAAGGAGGGAGAGTTGGCGAGGACTGCACTCCGCCATGCAGGGTCCCCTTCATGGGCTATCACAAGGTTCTTCTCATGAGATACAATGGCTTCATAGAGCACAGTGGGGTCATCATACTCATCTGGAGAAGTGAAATGATCCTAGACACAGAAATATAAAATATGTATTTTTTATGGAAAAGAAAAAAATGACTTCCAAGATAATAACTCCTAAGTGAAAATTCTTCCAATCTATCTTAATATAAATATTTCATATGAACAAATTAGTATTATTAGGAATAAAATTATAGATTCTTAATTATAACTAGGTTAGGAATTAGCTCATTACTGCTATACTACATCTGTGAATTCTTCAGTCTAACCCTCTCTTCTAAGTTTTAAACAAATATAATTTCTAATTTTTATGTTTTTTCTCTTTCAAGCTGATTTTTCCTATCCTTAGTCATTTTGTTTTCAATTCAAGTTATTTCATTGTTATCATTTAAGGAAGATCTACAAAGGTGTCTATATGGTGTTTTTTTCACAAGATACTTTTCCCATAAACCAACATCTCTGGAGTAGTTTTAAGATATCATTTTCCTTAGTCTCTAGTTAAGTTATGGCTCAAAGCTCTGACCTCTGTGCCCAGAATAAGTGTCCCAGTTCTAGATAATCTAGTCAGTCTTCCATGAAGAGACTCTTGGTCTTAACAATCACTCATTCATTTGATAAATACTCAGTATCTACCACATGCATACTGCAGGTAGCATGGATGAAACAAGAATATGTGAAATGTATTTTTTCTTTTACAGAACTACAAACTACAGGGGATACATACCAAAATAATCACAATGCAAATCTGAATTTCTAAAATGACAGATATTAAGAAAATACAGTACAAATACTGGCTGCCTTCATATTTAAGAGGCTGATATATTTCCATATCCAAGTAAAGTAAGTCATTTGTAGTCTAGTTTAATGACTGCAGTGCATACCCTCCAAAAAGAGGAAGAATAAGAAGGCAATCCCCTCAAGGATGTAAGCCCTTGGTGCAGGGGGATAAGATCTACAAAAATACTACTGTACATGTGAAAGATGCTTTACAATGTAAACATGTTTGCAATATATCATTTCATTTTCCTCAGACAAGAACTTTGTCAAGGAGGTCAAGATAAAACTTGCATTTTACATTATCTCAAAATTGAAACTCAAAAGGAGCTGACTGGCTTCCTAGGCTTACAAAGTTTGTACGTGGTAGGACCAGTCTTCAACATTGCTTCTAACACTTCTTTACAACATTTTTGAGTGTACTCCCCTCGATTAATGTCTTGCATGAGAATCCTGGACCCTGAATCTGCTTCTATAGGACCTAGTCTAACATGACATTCATAACATGAAAGGGATCGGCAACTACAGACTCCTGAACATCATACAACAGTCCTCCTGGCCTTTCTATCAGCACTGAGTTTGCACTTCCCTGTACCAGCTGATTATCTGATGTCATATAATGTGCTTTCTTATACCAAACATTTCCACTAGGGAAAAAATGAGATTTTTGTACAATAATATTAGTAATTATCTGAATGAAAAATGAAAGTTCAGATACTGGCAGTAATCACATTATTAATAAAATGGACACAAAGTTGGAAATCATTAGGCATATGCATAAAGTAGAGAACGTTTAATCTTATTCAACTATTTCCTTTCAGTGGGCTTAAAAGTGTGAAAACTTTGGAGGTTTAAAAAATTTTAATCTATCCTCTTTTAAATACAGTGAATTTTGTCTCGAAACTTTAAAGTCACTATGAATAAGGACAATTCTATTTGGTCTCAAATTAATATTTTCCCCATTGTCTTCAAAATAGGATTCTCTTTTTCAGAGATTTTCAAATAACCTATTGCTTATTAGTAATGCTCTTGAAGAATATGAGAGGTTACCATAATTCTAATACTTTAGATTGCAGTAAGTCACTTGAAGAGTAATTTAACTTTTATTTTGTGAGAAGATTCAATCAGATTTGGGCACAGCAAATCCATTTCCCACCTGACCCTACCATAAGATCTGATAACTGGAGTCAAGTATAATGATCACAGGATCTCAAGTGCCAGGACTTAATTTCACAGTATATTCTCTCTTTTTTTTTTTCTTCCTTTTTTGAGACAGGATCCTTCTATGTAGCTGAGGCTGGCCTCAAGCTTGCACTGGTCCTCCTGCATCAGCCTCCTGAGTGCTGGGATTGTAGGTGTATATCACTATGCCTGGCTCACAATATATTCTTGAAATGATCTAAGAGTTTGGAAATGTACTGTGGCTTTCATTTTAATTGTATTACCTTACTAGAATTATTTAAGGCTAAATCTGTCCTAAATTACTATCATTCTATGTGACACAGTAAACAAAATGCACAGCTTAGAAACAGCAGCACTTAGATCACTCCTCAGGTATTAACTACTCTGCATTTTTCACAGGCATTCATTCAAGGAAGAGGCATGAATTACTATCACATAAAGTCAACTCAAATAGTACAGGGGTCAAACACCTTTATTTTCAGCTTATCACTGCTTAAATTTTTCTCTAAGTTCATTCATATCCGGATTGGTTACTCTCTAATAATAATAATCAAATTTACTATTTTAAAACAAAAGTTCTGGTTTTTAAGATTTACTGTCTTTCTATAAATCATGGTTTTCTTTGGTTCAGACAAGAGCATTTCTCAAAATGTTCCTAAAAACATAAAGCAGAAGACAAATGAAGTACCAAGTATACACTAATAAATTAAAAAAAAAAAAAGCTCATCTTCTTACCTGATGAAGTTTAATGGACATACGAATTCCAGGGACTACTACTTTTCTTAGCAATTCCATGTCAGCAAAGATCCATTCATCTCGCATTGAAGAAATACGGAAATCTCCTTTAAATAGGGCATGCAATCCATAGAGGAATGACTCTAAATTACTGTTAAGACCGGAGATAAAAGTTCACATATTTTGGCAACACTGATTCTTACATTTGGCTGTGCATCAAAATCATCTGGGAATGTTCTGAAAATACAGCTTCCAGAAACTAAGGTCAGAACTCATAAATCAGACTCATACAAGGGCTCTGTTCGACCTGTGATTGTTGTTTGTGAACCACTATTAAATAGTGGGTCCATGAAAACAAACAGATAAAGAGCCCATAAGTTAAAATAAATTAAGGAGTCTAATGTAAAACATGTGGTTACAGGAAGAATTTAAAACATGAATTTCTTATTTCTAACTCATTTGGATATTCATGTCAGGAAGTTCAGTTTATATTTAAAGTCCTCAAATCTAATACATAACTACATTAAAAATACGAATGCTCTGGACAAAAAAATACAATAAAATATGAAAAAAATAAAAGCAGGTAAGTATTTTAGGAAAATATACATTATAGATGGGAGATCAATCAAATTCAAAAGGTGATAATATCTTTAAATGTCTTATATACACATTATCATCAGCTATTCACATGTGCAAATTTTAAAACCCACTTCTGTTAACCAGTTAGTAGAACTCAACCATGTTCAGCAAAAAAGATCTACAGAAACACAAAATTGAAGGAGACGGTGGCAACAAAATAGCATAAAATAAAGCTTCCACTAAAACATATTTTAGACTTAGATCATACAGCTTTCTATACTCTCTGAAAACAGAAATGCTTGTTTACCTGGACATATGGTGGGATGCAGTTCCCAAAGCTCTTCGTCCCAGAACACAGAGTCCATAACAAAGAGTTACCAGAGATGAATCTTTGTCCACATCCAGTGGCTTTAAAAAAAACCAAACAACTAGCTATCAGAAAAATATGTACATATTTAAGAAATCAGAAGATATTTAATCAATAAATTGGAAAGAGGATAAAGAACTCAATTAGTACACACTTAGAGAAGGAAAGGATGACTTTTTATTTCTGTGTAATAAAGAACACTGCTTTAGAAGGAAACATTCTTGTGAGGCCACTTCTCAATACTCTGGTGAGGGTCCTGGAGGTTGGAGTCAGCAAATTTCCATGGCTTATTAAACATCCCCAGGAAGAGGTCATTCTGGGAATGATGATTCAGAGAACAGAATGCACCACTGTAGGAGGTGGGGTAATTGTGTTCAAACAAAAGCTAGAAAAAAGAAAACCGAGAGCAGATGGGAGACTATATAGCTGGAAAAACGTTACTAATAGTTTCTTCTAAAGGGATTATAATGACTAGAATATATAAAGCTGACCTGGTGATAATAAGCTCTCTAAAGAGAATGGGGATACTTATGTTTATAAGTAAACCTTTTAAATATATGATATATCAGCAACCAGGAGGGCTTCCTTGAGCTATGTCCATGACCTCAACAATAATCTCTAAGAGAAGGGTCCTTAAATTTAGGTAGATGAAGTCCTGTTTCTCAGTGAGTAGTGAGCTCCCATATCATTTAAGCCAGAGAAAAGATATTAGAATAACATGACTACCCCTCAAAGCCACACCTCCCCAGAGGGTCCAACGATTCGAGAACAGTATGCAAAGCATTTTAAGTATATTTCCTTTATGAAAAAAATAAAACTAGTCTGCCTTGAAAGCACAAGGACCTGAGTTCAATCCCCAGTACAAAACAAACAAAATAAAACCCCCCAAAATGTTTGTTGTATATTTGAAAGAAGTTCAACTTTGAGGTTTGCTATATCCAGATGTTGTTTGTTGATCTTTCTTTGAGCCTCTTAGGTTATTTATTCTACTTATTATTATTTCTATAAAAATGTTATACTGATCAGTATATGTTGCACATCCAGTATAAAAGCTCAAAAGCCGTACTCAGAGAGGAAGTACAAGGATTCTCCCTTCCATTCTTACAGATGAAGTAAAGATAAAAGATGCTGATATGACAAGGTGCTTTAAAGTGCATGGAAAGGTCTAAACCAGGTGTTGACTCTGAAGATGACCAGTGTGTTCACCCTAAACCATAACAAAAGCACTGGTTGTTAAGGTGTCTCACTATGCTACATGGTATCAAGGAAACAGGATGCTGCTGATTCAAATACCCAAGGCTGCTGGTTGGAAAGCAATCTTGGTGGTAGGAAGTAGCTCTGTAATCACAGACCTTGGTACTGTGGTTATGTTACATGAAGTCTGACCAGGGTTATGGCAATGCCCTGAGAGTCATGCGACCTAGGAGGAAGAAATAGTTGCTAAAGTCTGTAACTCATCTTACTTTTAGGATAAGTTGTTCTAATGTGTGGATGGAGATACACTTGAATTAAAAATCGCCCAGGATGATTCATATTTTACATCCCCAGGATAGACTTAATAAATTGGAATTTCTCAGTTAAGGCCTAAGAATCTTCATTTTTACAAGTTTCTAGGCCATTTTTTAGTTACACTAACATTTGAAGATCCATGGTCTAGATGTACACTATGTAAATATAGTAGCCACTAGTCGTAAGAGTTATTACACTTAAATCAATTAGAATTAACAAAATTTAAAGTTCAATTCTTTAGCTGTACTTGGCCATATTTCAAGTGTTTAAAGCCACATGCGATATAGACAGCCCAGGATACTTCAATCATCACAGAAAGTTCTAATAGATAGCGCTGGTCTAGACTTTCTATTTGGGACAAAGATTCTCAATTATTCTTAAGTTTAGTGGGCAACCCTTAAGAAAGACTAAATTTTAGAGAATAATGTGTGTAATCTGAATTTGTGTGTATACAGATTCATGCACAGAATGGAGGAGTGCTGCCTGAGAATGAGATCAGAGCACTCCAAAAGAACAGAGGGGGGTCACTTTCCTTAATCTGTTTTGGCAGAGTTGGTCTGGCCCAATCATAACAACCCAGATAGGTTCTCTTACCTAGAAGACCAGAAAGAAACAGCTGAACCCCAGAATAAGTAACAAGGATACTTTCCAGCTTTGGAAATATCTGGATTCAAAGAGTTGCAAATGAAATAAACCAATCCTACCTTTGCTCTCCGGGAAGAGCAGTACTCTATCCAGTTGAGATAAATCACACAGAAACTCTCCCTGGATATGCCTGCCAGCCGATGGTCATAGTCTTCATCAATGTTTGGATTAAATGTTGGGTCTACATCAACATAGTTTCGATCTGCACAAAGACGAAGTCCTTCCTGCATTGTCTCATTAGCTAGCCACTCTTCTAATTTAGAGGAAGTTGTAACATAATAAATGATACCCTAATGTGGAAAAGAATTCAGGTTAAAATACAATTTGAATTAACTCCAACTCCTCAGTAAAATAAATTCCAACTGTTTTTATAGATAATATAACTCAAAAATATTTTATTCTAGCTCAATACTCTGTATATGTTTTAAGAATGCTATAATATACATCCTTTATAGATGAAAAAACATCTAATACTTTAAAATCACAACCATAAATTTGGCAAGGCAACTTGCAGTCTATTGATTTTAGTGCTTCTGAATTTAGGACACTGTAAGAAAAGAAAAAATTTTACTGTGCTGAATTAATTTTGAAAAAATTTTTATTGAAAGTTATTAAAACCATCTGGTATACCTAGGTCAAATTATAGAAATATAGCTAATCATAAAGCAATGGAATATATTAGAACTATAGACAGAAAATGCCACACACACACACACACACACACACACACACACAGAGGTTAAAAAAAAAAGTAAAATCAACCTCACTAGCTTTCTGTGGTTGGATTTAACCAAATATTGAAGGAAAGGCCCAAATAAGGTAGTACTTAGAAGTAACATCATAAAATATGGAAACTTCAGATGAGGGTAATTAAAGCTTAACACATACTTCCTCTTAAAAACACTGGCTTTGCCTAGAAGTCCTCAAATTACTACTATGCTGCATTTTCATAAGACTGTTAGCAAAAATGGAATATTTTGTGTAGTAAAGGATTAATCCTGCCCAATGAGGGGTCTTACCTTTGTTCCTGGGTCTTGGAAAGTAAATCTCTAAGCCTTTGAAAAGTCCTGCCTCATAAGACAATCTTTATGTAGCTGGGGACCTAGAGTTGCAGGCTATCAACTTGACCTTTAAAAGTCCAAGACACTTGTGTCATCCATGTGGGTGGCCAACCATGTCTACATGACTGCATTCCAATAAAGATGGGGACCCCAAGCTCAAGATAGCTGCTTGGTTTTGGCAATACTCTGTGAATATGCCACACCTCGGTGCTGGGAAAAATATGGATCTGTATAATTCTACTGTGAGAGGACATCTGGAAGCTCCTTACCATGATGTTTCTTGGACACTGTTCTTGGCTGAGTTTAATCTGCATCCTTCCACTATAATAACAGGAATATAATGTGAGTATAATGGTTTTGCTGAGTTCTGTGAGTCCTTTTAACAAATTCCTGAAACTACAGGTGATCTTGGGGACCCCAAAACTGCAGCTGGTATCAGAAATGTGGGTGATCTTGATTTTTGCAATACTTTGATTCAGTTTGTCAAAAGCAGTGCAAAACAGTAGTTGACAGCAAGGACCTAGGAGTCAAACACACTTCACTTTTAAATCCTAAGCTCTACTTACTATTTAGAAGATCTCTGGCAAATAAGCTTCTGATACTTAAGTTGTTTATTTGTTAAATAAGGAAGTAACACTTCTTTAGAGAATTAAGATACACATAAGTGTGTATGCATGCATGTGCGTGAATCTTCCTTAGCATAGTGCCCAAAACTTAAAGCTACAAAGGCTAGCTATTACTAATGAACAAAGGAACAAGTTCCACTAAAGAAACAGCAAGATCTTTGTAGGTATATTTTTATTGACTTTTCTACATACTAGAGAATTTAAATCACCACTCAGAAGCAAAGCACACATTTAAAAGTGTGTGGGTGTGCCTTTGTGTGTGTGTGTGTGTGTTTCACAAGAAATGCTTAGATTATCCAAAGATGTAAGTAGGCACATTCCCTTACCTTGACATAGTAAGTGGTGAGTACTTTCCGAAGATCGAAGACCTGAAGCATAGAAGCAGCACTATTATCAGTGATGCTATAACCTTCCAGAATATACTTAGTAACTATCACTTCCCAAGCTAGCCAACGTTGACTAAAGGCAGCATTAAATGAAAGCACATGAGGAATATGGCCAGGTTCGCAACAGCAAAATCCTTCATCTTCTTCTACACCTTCGGTAATGGCCTCCACTTCCCGTTGTTGACAGTAAGTACCTTACGAAAACAGAGACCATTACAAAGGAGATAAACCAGAAAATGGGAAAAATCAATGCCTCAAGGACCAAGATTTAGAAAAAAAATGGATGCATTTTATAGCAATTAAAAGTATGTGACTTACTTGCCTTAGAATATGGACTAACAAATGATACAAACTCCAGAAACTGGGAAGACTGTACGTTCAGTGCAGAATCACAATGTATATTAGTACATTAAAATTCTGGGAATTTATGCAGTAACTTAATTTTTAAAAAAATTTTATTATAGTTTATTAGTACATATTTGTAGTACATAACATTTAGATTCCTTATGGGAAGTTGGTACATGTACATAACACATTTTAATTTCCTTTTATCTCCTTTCCCTTCCTCTCTCCCGGCTCCACCCATCTCTTGAACGCTTGCCATTTTTTTTTTTTGTACATGCTTACAGTAAATAATGTTTACATTCTTTGTGTGGAGTTGGTACATGTATATAACACATCCCTTTTATTTATCCCTCATTCCTCCCCTCCCTCTTCCTGCCCCATCTCTTGATGCCCCTACCCCTTGGAAAAAGATCTCCCTATTTCCTATTATTTATCTTTTATTTTGCTCTTTATTTTTACTCTGGATTTCTCATGTAAGAGAAACCATGTGACTCATAGATTTCCAAATGGGTTTACAACTGCATTAATATAAATGAAGGCCAAATGAATAAAGATCCATCTCCTGAAGATTTAATTCATAAAGGACAGTGGAATGAGGACTGAATCATCACAGACACACCACAGTCTTGGTTAGATACATGTGGAAATCAGAATATGAGCTCCAGTACCAGTATCATGTTTATGCTTCAAGTAGAAATATTATATACGTCTGGTTTCTTTGGCTATGTAACTTGTAATAGTTAATTATAATTTAATATTAAATACATAATTACAAACTTTTTACATTTCCCATTCTAACAATGGTTGATATGACATTATTTTTTATTAATAAATTTTATTTTATTTTATCTCATTCCCACCCCCTCAAGCCTCCTCCCCTCCCTATGTACAAAAGCTTTGTTTCCATTTTTAGTATGACTTGGGGCCTTCAATAGCTCAGTTGGTAGAGTGGAGTTGACTGTAGCTGATTAAGTTTTGGTATGACTACATTATTGTCATTGGAGATTTACTTGCTGATGTAATTTTAATTAGGTATTAGGTCTCACTGTTCTGCACTAGCAAACAAATCTTTGACATTACACTCTTTTATACAAGGTATTTATCAAATAGGCATTCTTTGCATTAGTGTTACTAAAGTAAAAACACAAAAATAGATTAAATGTAGAATTAGAATCAAAGCAATCTAATGCTAACAAAGTATCTTTTCCATTAATGTAAATTTTTATTTTGTTTTGTGGTCTTTCTGTCATTTAATTTGTAAATTTCCTATATTATGTAAAGTCTATACAGCAATTATATATAGGCACATATTTAGTTTCTATTTCTTTCTCGTGCATGATTTTTTTTCTTTTAAAGGGAATATATACACTATGCACATTTAAAAACCATTGTTTTGAGAGAAATAAATGCTAGTGGTGTTACAATGAAAGACAAAGCTAAAGAGGTTATTCTGGCCAAGCTAAGGAGCTACAGTGGTCCCTCAAGTTACAACAGGCCTGACATATGAACAACCTGGGTTAATTGTGTTAATGGAAGTTTCATCTGCCTCATGTTATTTAGTGTGTACCCAGGTAAACATGCAGATCTCAGCTGTACTGACTTATAATCAACTTGAGTTACAACCAGCCCTCGGAACCAATCGAGTTCATAAGTCAAGGGTCTATTATCTAGTAATAAGTCAAGGGAATACTATCTAGTAATCTAGAACTCCCAACAATTTTATTATTTCCTTTTCTTGCTTAAATACATTGGCTGACATTTCTAAACTCATGTTACTTAGTGTAACGAGAAAAATCCTTGTCTTGAACTTACCACTCACAAGAATATATGCAGGGGTAGACTATTATACTATATAATACTCACTATAGATACACATACACTTGCATATTTTTCAACATAATGTTTGCAATTTTATAAATTATGTATTAAAGAATGGAAATAAAAGTTAATCCAATGTTTTCTGGTATCTTTTGAGAAAATCATACTGTTTTTCTTCTATGACCTATAAAATAGAAAGAATTCTGCTACTTGCTAATACTTAAATTCAAAAATTAAAAATGGCTGAATTTGTGCAGGGTACTTAAAAAAAGCACTGCTAAATTCTGCTTATTCTAAAATTGAAGAATTTTGCATGTATAGTCATAAGTAAAATTCAACTAGTTTATGTTAGCTTAGTCGTATTTTGATTATCAGTATGGCATTAGCTTGTAAAAAGCCTTGAGAAGTTTTTTCTTTATCCATGTGCTAGCACAGGTCAGAGTGTAGAATAATCCAATTTCTAGAAAAAGTGTCCTGAACTTGGGTTGTTGTTGTTTTGACTGTGGCATTAAAGCAAGACTATTCCTTTGGTTTTATGTTATTTTATTCATCTTGCTATCTTTTCTGGGAAGCTGCTAAAAGGTTTCTAAATGAGGAAATAACACAACGAGAGCACTGGTCACTACATATTGCACAGGTCACTTTGTTGGTGGTATGTGAAAAATGGATACAGTGAGAGGGAATCTGGAAGTTTTGACAATGACTCTGTGGAGGTCTTTGTTTAGAGCAGCAGAATTAGGTGACTGGGGTATCTGAACTAAAGGAGGACATGTTTTTACTCTACCATAGCAACTCTCCTAAGACTACAACCCCAATATACCCTAGTGGTATATTTTCCTTAGAAAATGAAGTCACTAATAAGTACAAGAATTAATAATAATAATTGAAAAAAGAATTTTGAGACTTGGAAAGTGATTCTACAGACTCTATGAGCCAACTATTGCCACTTCTTTCCTAGATTAGCTAGATCTTTCACCCATTTAATAGTGCATATAACTAGTAAAAATAAGTAACAATCATGACAACTAGATTAAAAATTAATTCAATCAACAACAAATTTTTGACATTTAAACTTTGAAATGGAAAATGTTCTTGGTAGAAGTAACACAAAAAGCTTGGTGGAAGCTATAATCAGAAAATGCTGATACAGACAATAAAGTGATAACACATTTTTGTCAGATAAAATTTACATGGAAAAGAATCTTGATAATATTGGTACAATAGAAATGGAAATGAAGAATATGAATGAGTTTAACCAGGACCTATAGGCAAAGGCTAAAATGATGTGTATGAAATAATAAAATAATGTGTGTGAAAAATAACCAAAGATCACATCAACATTTGAGCAAGAATATAATCATATCTCATGAGAATCTTGGGATAAACAGGAGAAAAAGCCTACATTATTTAGTCATTCTATAAAACTAACAAAACATTTATTATTATACACTGTTGTGTGATATAGGTGCTGATACAAAATGATGCTAAAACAAATGTGACTCCTGCCCTTTAAGGACCTATACTCTTTTTTTTTAAGGACCTATACTTTTAAGAGAAGGCTGGCAACCTTCAACTTTGGGCCAATTGAAGCTAAGAATGTTTTTGTATTTTTAAAAGATTGTTTAAAAGGTGCAAGGTCCTGAGTTTGATCCCTGGTACCAAAAAAAAAAAAATCAACACAAAGATTGTTTAAAAGAAACAACAATAGGAAACAGAAAAGCAGACTTTGTGAAGATGGAAAGGGGATCTAGTGATGGGAGAAGGAAGAGAAAGGAGGGGAAAAGGAAGTAAAAAGGATTAAGATGCGATATATACCAATATTCCCATGATAAACGCATTTATTATGCATTGCAAACATTTATTAATCCCACATACATGTGCGTGCACACGCACGCGTACACACACCATACATAGAATCCCACTAGTACTTTTCTTCAATTCCATCCTGGTCAAACTATATGAAAATTTTAGTGCCATGGATTTTTCAATTAGCTATGGATGGGGATGTAGCTCAGGTGCAGACAGCTTGTGTAGCAAGTGTTGAGACTCTGGGTTTGATCCCCAGTATTGCAGTTGCTAAGGAAGATCTCCTAACATTTTATACAAATACAAATACAAATATTAGCTATACCAGTTTCTCCATGTACATTTGTTAAAATGAAAAAAAAATAGGCACAAAAACTTTAAAAGAAGTTAAAAGTGCTAGCAGTGTAAATGTGGTGATAGGAGTGTGCTGACTTTCACATGAGTTTAGTTGGCTTATACTTGAAAAACATGGGGTAAAAGTACAGAAGAGATGCAGCGCTACATAAATAAAGTCTCATTTCTAGCAGACAGAGTAACTTCTAGAAAAGTACTTGCTCTACCTAAACAGATTCTCCATAACAAAAGCTCAAACTTTCTGGTTAATAGTAGTGAAAAATAAAGCTGTGGGGTATGGATCTGGTTCAATCCTCTTTCTCGTCAAATGCTTTCTTATTTCCTATTCCAGACTAAAAATACTCCAAAGAACTTGTTAGTGTAGATCACGAATTCTTTAATAAAAGATCTTAAGCCCAAATGTTCCCTACACCAGAAAGATACTCAGTAACAGGACTTGGAATTCCAATTAAAAAAGTGACTACTTGGACTTATAAGCCATTCAACTTACAGGACTATCTGAATCTATAATTTTCTATGTAGAAATGCCTTTGTCTGTCAGTACATAAAATTGCAGAAGGCTGGTGGAAAGGGGGAATCGGTGTAACTGCTTATATGGATATCAGGTTTATTTTTGGAGTGATGAAAATGCTTTGGAACTAGACAGAGGTGGTAGCTGCACAGTACTGTGAATTACTAAATGCTAGTGATTTCTTCATTTTTGGTTAATCTTAGGTTATGTGAATTTTATTTCAATTTTTAAAATGTTGAGGACAATGGCATAATATTTTCAGGAACATAACTCAATTAACTACTCTGCATCACACAAAAACTCAGCATGCTATCTCTCTATGCATTGAGCCAATATATTCACCTGGTCACAAAAGAGCTAGCAAGAGACCAACCACAGAACAACAGGAGTTCAGTATCTTCAGGTGAACAAGTCAATTATGCACACTAATGCTACTATTTTCACATATAGCACCATACTACATAAATGACTCTTCTGTGAATATGAAATTTGAGAGGGAAACTCTTAACAATTACTCTGTAACAACTTTTTTATCCCCCAATCTCAAAGATTCAATTTTATGACTTTTGATTTTTATAGGAGTACATTTTATAAAAATAAAAAATGAATGGATGTCTTACCTCTGAATTCAAGTCCCCGTAGCTGGAAAGTGACCAGGCCATTGCCTATCTCTATAAGGTGTACTAATGCATTGAGATAGTCAGAGGCAAGGATGAAACAGTCCCCAGTACTGTAGTTTCCCCATCGTCCTAGCAGCAAATCACCACAGAGGCTGTGTTGTAGGGATCTGGTTAAATGTTCATAAAAGATAGAATTCAGATTGTTGTCATCTGATCCTATAAGAAGGGAGTAAAAGGAAAAAGATCAAAACATTAAATTTCACCTTATATCACTTTTATATGACAAATATGATTGTTTAAAAAACTCCCAGTTAGGGCTGTATTTGTATTTAACTGACAGGAAAGATAATACTCATATCCTTATAATTTCTCTGTCTAGCTCAGTGGTAGGCTGCTTGCCTAACATTCACAAAGCATTGAGTTCAATCCCCAGCACTCCAAAAAAAGGGAGAGGGGAGAGAGGGGAGAGAGGGGAGGAAGGGGAAAGAGGGGAGAGAGGGAGAGAGGGAGAGAGACTAAAAAGATGAAACAGGATGAGGAAGATTTCCAAATTGAGAGTTATAAGTAACATAACCTCCCTGATGGTTCCCATGTGTGTCATGGGAGAATTTTATTAGATGCAATCTAAGGACTTTTCTACCTTCTTAATGTCTGTAATTTATAATTCATTGACTATTATGGATATTTAGTGAAATGTGCCTTATGATTAAAGCCATGCAAGAGAGATAAAGAAGATAAAAGACTTCAGAGAACAAAAAAAACTATCTGGTAAAGGAAGTAGGTAAAATAATACAAGATTTGAATAAACAAGGCAATCCAAAACAGAGAAGTTAGCTAAAAAAAAATCTGAGTATCAAGATAGCTGATATTAATCATAAATAAACTACATATACAGATATAGTAACAAAAAACCTAACCCACATTAGGGTTAGGCTGTAAGAAAAGTGTAAGTATAAAACATGATTCAATAAAGGAGATGACCATATCTAGAAGTAATCCATCCAAAGCAATAATCTGTAAATGGTACCCAAAATATAGTATTAGAGAATAGCAAGAGTCAAAGCTTAGTAATCATTTCAAACTTAGTCTAACTAAATATTAAAAGAATAGAAGGGGAACTCTAAATTGAAATGCCATTAAAACGACTGCATCTAATTCTACGTCTTTCCCATTACGAAAGTGTACTGATTTGTTATGCAGGATGGTGTCCTTAGCAACCTGAGATTTCTAGCCTCTTGTAAGGTCTTTTTCTCATGATAACAGGTACTGATATCAAATAACTAGTTCTTCTTACTCCAATTCTATAATTAAAAATCAGTGTGATTCTTATAGTTTCGTTTCTCAGATGGCTTCTCAAATGTAAGGTTTCTTACAGTATTGAAGGAATTTACGAATCAAATTAATACAAATATTCTAGTCCACTTGAGAGTAATGTTCCCTTTGGTAAATTAGTACACTAAAGTTCTGACTGATTCATTAGACTCTTATGGTTAAGGCAGTGAGATTCACTTTCTCTGTCTCAGATTACCACTGAATAGGATGATAAAATGTTTCCCAAATGACAAAGCTAAAAACCAGACTTCAAATAATGGTACCATGACCAAACTGCCACCCACGGAAGCCCTATTTTGAGTGTTTATTTTCCTCCTCCACCCAAATAACATCTTTTTATACAATAGACTAAATAAAATTAATATTTAAACATTCAGGGAGGGGTGGAAGCAAATACATGAATAAAATATGTATCAGTCTGACTGCACACCCTTCAACACATATCACCCAGTTTTACTTTAAATGCTTTCTACCTAAGAAAAAAATCTTTGAATGGCATTTAAATAAATTTCTATAAACATTATTAAAAACATTTTATAAATGGTTATACTCTAATTCATACATACTTTGCTAAAGTAAAACAAAATAAAGCACCGGATGTATAGTTTTTTAAATGATTATTTGGAACTCATAGTGGATTCCCAATATTCCTTAGACTTGCCTCCTTACTCATCCATAAATACCTGGATTTCTATCAAGTTGAGAAGCCAATCTGGTATTTGAATGATCCACTCGTTTTGTGCTGAAGAAGACAAAAATAAAACATTTTTATTAACTTCATACTTTAAAAATTTTTAATAATTAAGAATGAATGAGAAACTACAGGATATAGTTGAAATAAATCAAACTGTTTAGGAAAATCTCTGGGGGAAAAAAAAATCTGTGATTAGTGTACTCTTTGGTACACAGATTTAAAGATAAAGTTATGTATTTTCCCCTCTCACCTTCACTACACATAAACACAGCAATTTTTTTCCTTGTGTGTTGCATTGCACAGTGTGGAGAAAGACATCTATGATGGTATCATGATAAAAAACTGTCCAGGATGAAAAAATGTGGACTCTATATGTATGGTTCTCAGAAATTCACTGTGAATGAAACATTTTCTGCAGAGGAAGGAACATCTGTTAATGCCCAGTGGTACTGTAGTCTGTAGAAGAGCAATTCCCAAAATGTGGTCAACAGAACCCAAGAATCTTTCAGATCAAAACTATTCTCTTGGGCTGGGGATTTAGCTCAGTGGTTCCGGTGCCTGCCTCGCAAGCGCAAGGTCCTGAGTTCAATCCCCAGTACCAAAAAAACCCCCCAAAAAACAAAACTATTCTTCTAACCATTCTGAGCTGTTATTTGCCTTTTTCACTATGTTAACAAACTGCACTGATGGTGCAAAGGCAGTGGTGGGTAAGAGCTGTGCTGTCTGAGCAGGAACGAAGGCAGTGGCCCCAAAAGGCACTATCCTTCACTGTCAAACATGCACAAAGAGACAAATAATTCATTCATTCAAAAATGTCCCTAATGATGCAGTAAAATTATTTTTATTAAATCTCAACATCTTAGTACAGGACTCTTTATAATGTTCTGCATGGCAAAATGAAAAACTATACAGCACTTCTGCATTTGGCTGTCTTGAAGAAAAGCAATTGTGCACCTGTGTGAACTGCATGCTAAACTAACAGCTTTTTTTCTTAGAACACCATTTTTACTTGAACACCTGATAGAGAAACTGGAAGATAATTCAGATGTGTTATTGAACAGACACTGCACAAATATAAAGAAAATAAATCTGCATTTCAAGGAAAACAACTGGAAGTATTTGTTGACAGTGATAAAGAGTCAAGCAAAAATTAGAATTTGAGAAAACTTGCATCTACTAACATGAGTTTGGTAGCTTCCCAATACTTAGCAACTTTTCATTTTGAGGTTGATGGTGACACTAATGAACACAGTTTTTAAAACACTACATAATGAAATGTGTTGCTCAGCAAAGAAATACTTTCCAAATGACCAATAAATGATGTAATAAAATTATGCATGAGTAAAAGATCTATTCAAATACAAACAGGTGAATTTGGTGAAACTGTTTCAAAAGTTCACAGACACAGGTTAGGTTGCATACTGCGACTTTTAATAAAGCACTATTTGTTGAATTTTAGTAAAGGATCAAAACATATCCAAAACTGTCTTAAAATATTCTTTTTTCAACTACCAATTGGTGTGAGGCCAAAGTTTCTTCATATTTCAAGCAAAACAATGTTTTGCAACAGACTGAATAAAGAAGCAGATGACAGACTCCATCTGTCTTTTAATAAGCCAGACATTAAGAGATTTGAAAAACTGTAAAGCAATACTATTTCTTTCACTAATATTTTGGTAAGTGAGGAAATATACTTATTTTTAATTTAAAAATATTATTTACGCTAATATGCAAAGGATATATTCTCATTTTTTAAATAAACACTTGAAAATTTTTTTATTTTTCTATATTGTTCTTACTGATAGATAAGATTTACTGATAGATAAGATTTATATTTCACTGATAGATAAGATTTACTGATAGATAAGATTTATATTTCACTGATAGATAAGATTTATATTTTAAAAACTGGCATTTTCAATAATTTTTAAGAGTATAAAGGGATTCTGAGACCAAAAACTTTAAAAGCTGCTATCATAGAACATTACTTTGGACTAGAAGTTGGCACAGAAAAACAGGATATAAATAACCCTGAAATTCACCAAAACAGGAAACATCATATGCAGTTTTAGATAAAAGACCAGAGCAAAATTTTCAAGCCCACAAGCTAGTTCATTATTTCAAAAGTGAAACCACCATTTTCCCAGCGTCTATATGCCAATGTATGAAAATACAGAAAGGCAGTCATAGAGATAGACAGTAAAATTATAAACTAGTATAAGCTCTTTCCAAATCAATGTGTTAATGCATATTTAAAATATTTGTGTTCTATAACTCAGTAATTCCTTTTACAAATAAAAAAAATGAAATTTGAAAAGATTACATACAAGGATGGTTACTAAACATTAAATAGGCAGTCTAAAAAGCTAAGTTTAAATGGAGAAAATACTTTATGCACAAAGATGGTCATTAAAAACTTTTCTTTATGGGGCCGGGGATTTAGCTCAGTGGTTCTGGCGCCTGCCTCGCAAGCTGAGGACCCGAGTTCGATCTCCGGTACCAAAAACAAACAAACAAATAAAAACTTTTCATTATGAAAAGAGATCATTCATACAAGTTTAGGTCTAGAAATATCCACCTGTATCTAAGAAAAGTGTAATTCATTTTAATAGTGATAATGATATAACTTGGTACCACATAAAGATTCAGAGTATTGTAATATGGAATAATTCTTTTAAAATCACTGAAAGAAAAGATATAAAAGTGAGTATATTTAATTAGAATTATGTTTTTAAAAATCTCGAGGAGAAAAGATGAGAAAATAAAGTCATTTCTTTTATACAATTTTCAAATTTTAAAAATACTTATAAATTTCTTCCAGGTATGGTGGTGCATACCTGTAATCTCAGCACTTGAGAGGCTGAGGCAAGAGGATTGCCATGAATTCAAGGCCAGCCTGAACTACTTAGCAAGACTCTGTCTCAAAAGAAAATTTATAAATTTCTCAGCATAAATATTTGAACATATCAAATTATGAACCATAAATAACTTCTAGTAATAATGCTATCAACAGTTTTTCCTTGCAAAAAAAAAAAAAGGAAAAAGAAATTGTCTTTCAAGTATTTCACTTTACTCACTTATAGTCTCTCTCCCAGAATTTCACAGGTCGGACATACGAAGTGATGAATATTGCACTTCCCAGAAAGGGGTTTAATGGGGTAGAGAAGAAAGCTGACACAGCAGCCTGAATAAACAGCATGGCTGAATCTGGGGAAAAACTGGATAAGGAACTTAACACTGATCTGAACACACATGCTAAAAAACAGAAGAAAAATCTCACAAATACATTTACGTTACAACAATTAGAGCAGTGATGGTGAATCTTTTAGAGCTTTCAATGATAGAAACAGCCCACTGCGGCACGTACTATGCCACAGGTTCGTCACTACTGAACTAAGAGAACACAGATGAGGATGTCACAGGCCAGCATAAGGGCCTCCCAACAGAAAGATACACAGATGAAGGACAAACTGGTGTGATGTTTTGAAGGGAGCCAAAAAGATATGTCTTAATAAGTATATGGTAAAAGTCTGTATGTTGATCTTGAGAAGAGATGCATGGGTTTAATTTTCTAGAAGGTTAAAACTAAAATCTGCAGATACCAAAAGTCTGTTTGAACATCACTGGACTCACTAACCCTTAGTGTTATTTAGAAAATAAGAAATGAGTACAAGCTGGGCGTGGTAGCATACAACTGTAATCTCAGCACTCAGGAGGCTGAGGCAGGAAGATTGCTGTGGCCAACCTGGGGTTCATAGTGAATTCAAGGCCAGCCTGAACTACTTAGTGAGACCCCGTCTCAAAAAAACCAAAAAGTGGTTCTGCTGCCTGCCTCACAAGTGCAAGGTCCCAAGTTTAATCCCCGGTACAAAAAAACCCACAAAATTCCTAGACTTTAATAACATTCAAATGATTTACATTTAAAATATAAAATTTTTAGCCAGGTGTGGTGACACACACATGTAATCCCAGTGCTCTGGAACCCTGAGGCGGGAGAATCCCAAGTTCAAGCGCAACAGGAAACTTAGCAATTTAGTTTGTTTCAAAATTAAAAATAAAAAAGGGCTGGAGATGTAGCTCAGTGTAAAGACTGTGGGTTTGATCCCTAGCCCCACAAACCAAATAAAATTTTAAATTAATAGTACTTATTATAAAACCTTAATTCTCACATCCAGATGATCTGTAGGAAATAATGTTAAACAAGTTATACAATCTAAATAAATCAGGACAGCCATAGACTCAAAAGATTATGTGTTTTTAATATGTTATACAGTAACCTATATTTTATGTCTGTGAAAGGTTCTGTCTATAAACCAACATTCTCATCAAGGATATAACTACCCACTCTCACAAAACGTTAGAAGGATACGGGGCACTGCAAAGGGCTGAGCAAATGCATGGAAAGCAGAACCCCATGTAATCTGCCATGGAGCTATATAGGTATACACGAACTGCAACTTATAAAGGAGTTCCCAAAGCTGCAGGAAGAAGAGAAAAACCATCAGTAAAGAACCTTATCAGATATTTGAATAAGAAAACAAAAGACCCACAAAATATATTTTCTTCCTAATAGGAAAATGGCATTAAAATAATGTGCCATTTGTGTAACAGGAAATGTTTTATGAATTGAACTTATTTTTAACATACTGAACTTATTTTTAAATAAGGATGCTATTTTTAAGCAAAGACAGGTAGTTGACTTGTGCAATTGTTTCATGCTTTTAAAAGTTTAATGCCCGCTATCAGCCAGCCATATTACTACTACTACAAGCAAAACAAAGAAATGTAGGAAGCAACAAAGTAACTTTCCTGCAACAAAAAATCTAGATGTCTGTAAAGCTTAATGCATGTATTTATTCTATCCTCAAGTACATTTTCCTCAAGTTTTAGTGGTCTAGAAAGAGTACATTTCAAATGCAATGTCAAAGGAATGTGAAAACAGCAGTTATAATATAGTTGCCACTGCCTGTCTGCATAGGAATTTAGTTGTATGTACTACCATTAGGGATCTGTACAAAGCTTCAACTTTGTCAATGGAAATACAATACCATTTTAATGTTAATGTTGGAGTACTGCTGTCAAGCATATTTTCTACACTAAAACAGGGACGCTGTATTTGTCTAAGATTACCTCTGCAAATTAAGAAATACAATTTTAAATCTAAGTATCTAAGTTTATGAGAAACTACGTGCTTCTTTACACAAAAAATTCCCTGATTAATTTTCTGATTTCCTCTGGTTAACAAACATGCTCACAACAGGAAATAGGTGATATAAGGCATATAAATTAGTGGCTGAACAAATTTAATACTGAAATATTTTAGAAAGTTTTCATCACAACATTGGAACTATCACTAAAACTTTGTTCAGATTAATGGCCTTCCACTTTTACTGTTCCCATCCTAGCTCAGATAAGATATCCATCATATCTGAATCACTGTCACAATCTCTTAAACTGTTCTCCATACCTTCAGGTTCTCTCTTCCCCACTTCATCCCAAAAGTGGCTGACCAGGCTAACTTGCCTAAAATTGGACTTTCATTGTGTTTTGTAGCTGTTCATTTGCTTCAGCTGTTACCTATCAAATGGGATAATATATGTCAAAGTCCTTTGGTCAGTGTTAACATGAAATCTAATTGGTATTTAATTTACAAGCAATCTGACTGTACAACCTACTTAATTTAGAAAGGTAATGTGGTTTAGCAAAATGACCCTTGCACTGAGAAGCAGAAGACTCAGGTCTTATGTTGCTTTTAAAGGGCATAAGAATACTTACAGGTGGTAATGAATTTTGGAAGCATTCTGTAAACTTCAGAATATCTTGTCAAGCTAATTTCTGGTTGCTCCTGCATGGCTTTATTGTCTTCATTCAGCTAATTAGGTGAATCTTCCACTAGAATTTGTTCCCTCCATTCATACAGCAGCCTAGAGCCCAATTCAACTATTACGACTTCTAGTTTTAAAATTATTGAAAGCCACACTCTCTTTGGAAGATCTTACATACTTAAAAATATATACTTTTCTAATTTTCCTATATACCTTACTTATATCTTTCTAGCTCTCACAAGGATCATACTGTATCTTTTATGGATTATAGTGACCAGCATTGCTTAGGGATTCTGATATGCTCCTAAATAACTGATTGATTAAAAAAGCATATTACTAAAAAGACGATAAATCAAATGAAATATAAGCATAATCTTTACTTAGTAGTATATTACTTAGATAGGTTTTACAGAGAGAAATATTATTTTCAGTGATAAATTACCTTGTTGAAGAGTATGGACATGAAAAAGAGATCCAACAGCATAGTCTCTGAAAAAGCTTCATAGTCGAATTTGAAAAAGAGCACTGTAAAGATGACTGTGACATACTGGTATGTAGGGCTGCTGAAAGAGGAGCGCAGCAACTTTAAGCCAGCAATGGTGATCATTAAAGCACCTACTCTGTAACAGATAGAAAGCACAACTCATCAACTCATGGCTGAGAACAATGGAACATTTCCTGACTTTAGAAAAATCACCACTTCAATTACTAAGCTTACAATATAGAGATCGAATTTAAACTTCTGAAAACAATTTATATGGTTAAGCAAACTACCTCCTGTCTGGATCTAACTAGTACAATAGTCTCTTTTAATAGTATGTATTACAATTTTTATACTCTTTAAATAAACATGTTTTAAAAATGAATAGTATGCCGGGGATTTAGCTCAGTGGTTTCACTGCCTGCTGCGCAAGGGCAAGGACCCAAGTTCGATCCCTGGTACCAAAAAAAAAAAAAAAAGTTAAAAAAAAAAAAAAGAATAGTATTATAATTGTGACATCTGGTTCTCTAGTGTCTCAGTATTTCTATCACTTTAATATTAATTGCATTTAGCATATGAAAAACATATATTTAACATTTACTCCACAACATGAACCTATTAGTAGATAGGCCTGTAGGATAACAATACAGGTAACTGACCATCCACATGGCATGACCTACATGGTACACACAAAAAAATAGCCATCTCCCAAATCTGCTATCTAATATTAAAAATTAACCTTACTTAATAATGTCATCTCATAAAGTATCAGCTGACAATGAGATGTTTGGAATAGAGAATTTGTGAAAAGTTAAATGGATAGCCAAAAGAGGGGAGTCAGCATTTTGCCTGAAATTTTTAAATCTCATGGTACACCCTGTACTATAGAGACACTCAATGCTTATTCGGAACTTGATCAACAACTTAAGACAATGCTTATAACAACTCCCAGTGACTACTGTACTTACTCTGTATCCAGTTTCTTTGGACTGGCAATTGTCTCTGCACTGCTACTAAGTTCATTGAGAACAACCAGTGGATAGATGATATTCTTCTCCACAAAAAGAAGCCACACATGAAGTTTTTCAAACCACATCATAGTGGCTGCATCTAACAAGGCAACATAAGTCAAAAAGATCACCTAATATATAAAGTAGTCTTACAATGTGATGAGAAAGGAAAACCTTACAAATCAAATTTTACAATATACTATAAATTAAAAAATTTAAGAAATCCAGTACTATAATCAGTTATCAACCTCTATGAATTCTGAAACATTTCCATCTTGGTTATAACTTACATTTAAATGAATTTTATTGGGGCTGGGGATTTAGCTCAATGGTTTCGTCGCCTGCTGTGCAAGCACAAGGACCCAAGTTCGATCCCCGGTACCAAAAAAAAAAAAAATTTTGTGCTAAATGAATTTTATTGTAAACTTTAAATCCTGAAATCTGTTTTGAAACTGCACCTTTTTCTCACTTATGCCTGTATCTTATGGAGAAAAGATCACTGAAGATTATTAGGGTATACCATATCCAAAAATAGATAATCTAGTAAATTATCTGTTTCTAAAATGTGTGTATACACACACATATGTAAGACATAATATCTCAAAAGAGATACGAAAATATACTAGATTTCATATACTTCATAAGAATAATTTTCAATGCCAATAAAGTATCTCAGATAAACCTGAAGATTTTTTTGTGTGTGTGTGTGGTACCGGGGATCAAATTCAGGACCTTGCGCTTGTGAGGCAGGCGCAGTGCCACTGAGCTAACCTTGAAGATTTAATACATGGTTCTTTGGGAACCTGAAAACAGTTACACCAGGCTTTTAGGAAGTTCTCCAATGAGTAATATATATCTCTTTCAATTGCCAAAATCAGTACAAAAAAATTACCTTCCCTACAACCCAGTACTTTCAATAAGTCAAAAACACCAGGCTGGTTCAATATTTGTAAAAATTTAGACTAATTAGGATCTGAAACAAATAAGTTATTTATTAATAGTTATAATATAGTTCTAATATAGCTAAAATACAATAACTATATTAATATAAAAATATCAATATATTAATATATTCTAATATAAATATATTACACCTATTATAAATATTTTAATAACTGCTATTTTTAAGGCAAATTAGATATATTACCATTTATTTATAGAAGTGATATTAATAGTTCACTATAAAAAAAACCTGAAGCAGAGAATGGGCCAGTATTGATTCCCACACAGTTTCAGGTCATTTTATTAAAAGAGCGCACACTTTGTAAAAGGTCTGCACAGTGTTACTGGTTCAAGGTACACATTAATGTTTAACTATCTCTCCAGGATCCAACTGACAATCAAGATTAAAGTGACATGCTATTTCAATAAATTTCACTGAAAGGTCTATGAAATTTGCTTTGAGAATGTGAAGACAAGCAACAGAAAGCTTTCAAAGGCTTCAGAGTTCTCTAAAAAATTCATTCATCTTCAAATGAAAGAGGAGTTTATTCTCTTTAGAGCAACTCACTAATTGAAAGAAAAGTCTAAGGAGAAAAAGTTAGCTTATTTAACCACTGGTATATAATAATGACATAGATATAAACTTTTACTATTTCTCTAAAAACGCTTACTATTTCTAGTAAGCATATGAGTCCTAGAGCCAATGAACAAGACTCTTGCACAAGAAAGAAAAGTCAGAGTTTACAGTGGGGAAGAGGAGCTTGCCAAATGGACTGGCCTATCTCTCCTTAAAGCACTTTATATTTTATCCCAAATCTGAATTAGTAACAGCAATTACAAAATATTTTCTTACTTCTTTCCACTCTGTGTTATGTTTTAGATCTAGAATATCCCCCAAAAGCTTCATGTGTTCAGAGGTGGGACTTTGGAAGAAGACTGGATGGATCATGGGGGCACTACACTCATCCGTGGATTAATCTACTCATGAATTCATAGCTAAATGTCCTATTACAAGATGGGGTCTAGTCAGAAGCGGTGGGTCACTAGGGCCGAGACTGAGAAGGGTGTATAGGATCTCCTTGGCAACTCCCTTCACTCTTCTTCCTGTCATGGGATGAACAGCTGTCCTCCACCCAGGCCCTTCCACCACATTACTTGTGCCTTGGAGCCTTCTGACCATGGGCTGAAACTTCTGAAACTGTGAGTCAAACAACCTCTCCACCTTTAGGTTGTGGGTGTTGGGTATTGTTTCTCAGCAATGAGGAAAGTAACTAAGACTCTGGTAAGATATAGTGCCTCTGGCATAAATAAGAACAAAGACCTTTCTTCTCTCTCTATGCTTTAGTTAAAAGTATTTCAAATAGAGGTCTTTAAGCAGGTTAGGCTGCCTATATATGGAAAGGAAATAGGGGAAAGAATAGGGTCTAGAAGGACGAGTCATATACAGGAGGATTCATCAGTGATAGGTCTGTAAGGAACGACCTAGGGAAGGAAGAAGATTTTTCTGTGGCAAGTTGGCCTGGTAGCACTGACAAGGCCTTTTACTTCAGCTGAAATTAAAGCATTCTGCAACAGATTTGATTTGCAAACAGCTTCAAACCTAAGGCTAAGAAATACAAGCCAAGTGTTAGCTGATGATACTTATTTAACTCAGTCATCTTATCAGCACAGTAAAGAGAAAAAAAATCACAGTATTAAAATGAAAGGTGTTTATGAAATACTTACTTCGAACTTCATATTGATTATATTCTGCTGTCTTCAGCAAAGGATGAGAGAAACAGTGCCATGGTTGCTGTTTCCTAACTTGAGGCAGAACATAGTGGGTTACGAACCCCACAAAGCCAACTAATGCATATAACACATATTTGAGAGCAGGCTAAAAGAAAAATAAAGTTGAAAAAATTAGGACTAACTGTGAGACTAATTGTGGAACTTTTAATTTCCATGTGATAATGGAGAATAACCAAGTCGATTTTAGAATCTAAGAAATGAACATTTGTTTGAAATTAACATTTCTGTATCATTGTTTTTCTGATTAAACCGGCCACAAAAGGTAGTGACTGCTTTTATATATTACAGATGTTTAAAATGTGTTAACTACTTGCTTTGGTATTTCATGTCAGTGACCAGAATTGTACTGCTTCCTGCTCCAAAAATGTTTTATGTGTCCATCAGACTGATGTATTATAATTGTTCTAATGAGTGGAGATAAAGGATATGTAGCTAAGTAAAACTGTATAGGCAGAGAAGAGCAGAATAGGATAAGAAAAAAAACAGTATTCCATTTTATTTGTATGTTTATATTTGACTAAATTTACAAAACAGACAAGTACCATCTCTTCAAAAATTCAAACTAGGGCTCATATATTTGGAAATTCTGGAACTTCTCAGACCCAATGTAACCTCCATCCATCTGCACCCAAAGACCCAATAGACCTTATTCAGTCTGTAAGTGGCCAGGAACTAATAGTTCAATATTGTTTCAAATATTAAATAAAATTAAATAATTAGGCCTTCATTTCTGGCCAGATGGAGGAATAGGGATTTACCCTTCCAAATTAAACAACCCAATCAGAATAAAATATATAACCCAATGATTTGTGACAGACAAGACATATGGAATTAACCCTGAACTCTGAGGAAAGGCAACACGGGTTAGTGTTCTGACTCCCCAGTGCACTGCCCTGAGAGATCCCAGGCTGTGGTGCGCACACAAGGCTGGGGACTCTCTGAACTAAGGAGATGGAGTTGAAAGGTGGTTAAGTCTTCACCAGAGGGGACAGTGCACCAAAGAGAAAAATGCACAGGAGGAGAATTCTGGAGATCAACGTAAGATCCCTCTCAAGTATTCAAGGGGACACTAACCAGCTCATGCTTGTGAGGAAACTACGGAAGGTCAGGAAAGAACCACAGGAAAGGTGAGAGTGGAGAGCATCAGGACTCATTCGGGGCTGGGAAGAGTGTCTACTCTCTAAACCACACTGGAAAAGCCAAGATTTCCAGAGCACTGGGCAGACCCTGAAAGGGCAGTCCTCTCTGCAGAGGGAAATATCAGCTCTCAATTAAATATGGCCTTGGTCCTGAAAACCAAGGCCTGAAAGAATCAAGCTGTTAATAAGCACTTAACAGTATCCTGGAAAAAAGCTGAAAAAGTATTTCTAGAAATGCAGAATTATCCAAAAGCTAACAAGGTAAAATTTATACTGTTTGGCATTCAATCAAAAATCATCATGTGGGCAAAGAATTAAGAAACTATAAACCATAGAGAGGGATAAAAAAATCAGTCAATCAGAACCAACCCATAAATAATATAGATGTTATAATCAGTAGACAAGGACATCAAGACAGTTATAACTGACTTCTGTATGTTCAAAAAGTTCAATGGAGGCACAAGACAGTTAAAAAGACTTACATGAACTTTTAAAGATAAAAATTATAAATTATGAAATGAAAAACACACTGAATGGGATTAATAACAGGTTATAATCACAGAAGAAAAGATTAGTGAATTTAAAGACCAATAGACACTATTTAAAATTAAATACTGGGGAAATAAGAATTAAAATAAAAATATCAGATAACCGTGGAACAACTTCAGAAAGCCAAAGCTCCTTGTTACTGGAGTCTGTGCACCACAGTACGTGTAAGGTGCAGAGGAATAGGGGAAGGGGCAGCGTGGGGAGAGTGGAGGACAGGGGGACATCTGAAATAATAATCCAGAATTTTCCTAATTTAATCAAAGCCATCAGTCACAGACTCACTGAACCACAAGCACAAAAACAAGAAGAAAACCACATGAAGGTACATCATAATCAAATTACTCAAAAGTGGATAGGAAAACAGAATTCTACAAGTAGTAGAGAAAAAAACAAGATATCTATGGAGGAATAAAGATAACAGCACAGATTTCACATCAGAAGCAAAGGAAGACAAAAGCAGTGGAACAAGATCTTTAAACACTAAATACTCCCCCCCAAACTTGTCATCCTAGAACTTTACACCCAGTGAAGTATTCTTCAAAACCAATGAAATAAGGACTTTCTCAGAAATACAGAAGATGAAAGAAACTGTAGATTCACACTACAAGCGATGTTTCACACTACAAGAAATGTTCTACTAAATCTTTCAGGCAGAAGGAACACAATACCATATAGAAATACAGGTCTACACAAAAGAATGAGAGTTCTAAACATGGTAATTACATGGTCCACAGATGGAAGATCTGTCCTTGAGGAGGTTTGCCCACACTTGAACCTTATTTAAATGACAAGGTTCTAGGCTTCCAGCCATATGGAAATGAGATTTTACGAGTTTTCAGGGAGGATAAGTATATCTTACATATGGGAGGGATGTGAATTATGTAGGCCAGAGGACAGACTGTGGTAATCAGCCTCAAAACATCCTATGATTCTGGCACTTAAACCGGTATGTATTCCCTTTTCACACTACATGTGACCAGGGCTAGTCTATGTGACCAACAGAATATGGCAGCAGTGATGTGTAGATTATAAAAGAGTGCAGTATAGCTTGTCTTGGGCTTTCCCCAGGCTCACTTGCTCTGGGGGATGGATACCAGCTACCATTTCATGAGGATACTCAGGCAGCCTATTGGGAGGATTACATGGAGAGGAACTGAAGTCTCTAGCCAATAGTCAGCAAGGAACTGTAAACAATGAACTATACAAGAGTGCAGCAACATAAAGGATCCTAAGCTATACTCATTTAGGTATGCTACACCCAGATTCATGATCCAGAGAAACTCTAAGAAAATGGGTATCTGTTGTTAAAAAAAGGTCATATAATTCAGTGCTATGAACAAACATTACAATCAAATCAGAAATGAGTTCTGTTATTTGTCCTTAACTGAAAGAATAAAAATGGTTCCTTACTTGCAATACCGTGAACACTGTGCTTACATGAATAGCAAAATACAGCACGCCAATTACAATGCACACTACTAGGTCAGACTGTAAACGCTCACTCTGTGGAACAAAAATACAGAACAAAACAAAAAAGAAAAGAATTATTAAACAATTATGTTAAAAAATTTTTTAAAATTCCTTTTATTTGCAACTGGCAAAGTTTAAGAAATAATGTTTCACTCATATTCCTCAACACTTCTAGGCATTTTTTATATAAAATAATTAAATACAGTGAATTTTAATTTCTTCATCAACTTCCTCATATTTTTGGTTTGGCACTATAATGCCAAGGAAATCAAACAAATCTAGTCTTGCATACTATAAACATATTGCAATAAATCCTTTAAGATGAAGATTTTCCCCGCCATTGGTCTATGCATTTTACTTGTACACAGAGGAAAAGAACATAAGGTTCTTAAGTTACCAAAACACTTACAGTATAGATCTCTTTGGATAAATTATATTTTCATTGGTTTCTTAATACATTAAAATTGTATGCATTTTCCAGTTTTACTTAGTGGGTTTTTGATCTTTCAGTGGTTACATAGGTTATCACTTCTGAAATGCTTGAGGCCAGAAGTAATTCAGATTTCGGTTTTTTGGACTTTGAAATATATCTGCACAGTCTTTAATAGTTGGGAACCCCTAAAGGAAAATCTGAAATCCAAAATGCTCCGAATTAAAACTGTCAATTTTGAGGCATTTTGGATTTGGAATTTTCAGATTAGGAATGCTTAATCTGTAGTAAAACTCAGAAACCTCTTGATAATCTGAGCCATCACTGAATAATTAGATTTATATATATCAACATGCTAGATTCAGAACACTCTACTATACTTAACATGAAATAGCCTTGCTAACTTGGACATTAGTCAGAAAAAAATTTTTTTTACTTCAATCTTATCCCAAGGCAGTTTTGCATCTCAAGTTTTCTAAAGAATACGTGAATAGTGCCTGTCCACTGAAAGTAAATATTAGGTCCAATTCAATAAGTCTTTCACAAATGGAAATAATCTAAAAACAAAAATGTTTTATGTTTTGCTCCATAAAATATGAATCTACAGAATTCATTTTTCAAATAAATACTAAAAGAATATATGTAACTTTATCATTCACTAAATTAGAAATTTAAAAGAACTGCTGCATTTATTTAAGTACACTAAGTAAGTTTTGGTTATTGTTCTCTCCTTCATATTGGAAAAGTTTTCAGACTGTCCATGAGAAATAAAATATTAGTACATGACTTACAAGTACATTGTTTTGTTTTTTTAAATCAACAAGAACAATAGAAAAACAGATATAATTTATGTTAATACAGCAGTCTCCTCTTATCCATAGGGGCTATGTTCCAAAGAACATCAATGGTTCTCTGAAACTGCAGGCAGTACCTAGCCCTAGTACCTAGTACCTATGCTACACCTATCACTAAGTGACTAATAGGATATGCTGGCAAAGGGATGATTCACAACTTGGGTGGGATGATATGAGATTTTACCTTGCTTTATACTCAGAATGGTGTGCTGTTCGAAATTTATGAATTTTTTATTCCTGAAAATTTTGTTTAATATTTTCAGACTGTGATTGACTAGGGTAGCTACAATTAAAACTGAGAATACTGAAACTGACGATGAAGAGAAGCTATTATATTCATCTTTAAGATCCTAGTCTAACCTAAACAGGACAAAAAATTCTATGACCAATGAACTTACTTCATTTCAACTGAGCTGAAAGAGTGTGATGCACTATTTTACACAGAAACCAAGTTTGCGGAATGTGCATTTCTTACAGAGATTAAGTATTTAAAATGTTTAGTATCAGAAGTGTTTTAGATTATTTTTCAAATTTTGGAATAGTTGTGTACATATAATATGACATCTTGGGGATAGGATTCAAGCCTAAAAACAAAATTTATATATGCTTCATATGTACCTACAGACATAGTTTGAAGGTAATTTTACACACTATTTTTAGTGCCCCTATGATTTGAGTATAAATCAACAAATAAGATCGGGTGTGGAATTTTCCACTGTGGTATCATGTTGGTTCCAAAAAAGTTCTGGATCTTTTAGAGCACTCTGGATCAACCTTGATGGTAAAATTGTGAGTAAAGGCCAACAGCAATGTACAACTACTCTACACTTCTCCCAATTACTAAAGACATTTAAAAGCTCTTTATTATATAACTCGATTAACTCTAAAATTTAAACCTTGGAGGTAACTTTAAAAGGTAAAACTTACAACAGAATTTCTAAGTTTTTCAGGCAGTGGGTCTTTTACTTCAGATAGAGGATCTTCTGGATTTTTCTCTTCTGTTTTTGGAAAAATCCTGGATTGCACCAAAGAACTTTACATTTAAAAAAAATTAAGAGAAAATAATTAATAAAAATGAATATTTAACCTGAAAACCAGTAATTCAAATGGCAAAGTTTATGACAGAAAACCAAAGGACCCAATATTTAATCTTTAGGAAATAACAAATTCTAAAAAGTTAAAGATGCCATAGTGAAAATATTTTTCATTAAAATATGGTTTTAATACCTGAGAGAGAGAGAAAAAAACTCTCAGCCAACTTGATTAGAATGACTCAAGGAAAAAAAGTCTTGGAAACTATTTGAAAGAAATGCCAACTTATTAAATTATTCTTAATTTATTAAATTTCTTTAATAATAACAGATTTTACTTACAAAAGTACAGATGGATCACTGCTTTGTCGGCTGAGATGATAGGATACTGCCACTAACAAACCACAAAAAATGGAGAAAAGTACTGGAATATGCTGGCCATCCCATGAATCCTGTTGGGAAAAAAAAAAATTTAACAAAACAATGTGCTTCTAATTTATAATCTGTTGGGCTGGAGATTTAGCTCAGTGGTTCCGCCGCCTGCCCTTCAAGCGCAAGGACCTGAGTTCGATCCCCAGTACCAAAAAAAAAAAATCCTAATTTATAATCTATTATATCATCCTCTTATGTCAGTATTTTGGAATCACTGTATTTACATTTTTAAAAAATGTAAACAGCCAGGGATTTACCTCAGTGGTTCTGCCACCTGTCTTGCAAGAGTAAAGACCCAAGTTCGATCCCCAGTACCAAAAAAAAAAAAAAAAATTTTAAACAGGCATATCATTAGCTACATTTTATCCCAAATAAACTTAGATTTATTGCTATCTGATGAGCTAGAATCTAGCTGCTAGGTTTTTTTTTAGTATAAAGCTTCAGATTTCTTTTTTATTAAAACTATTCATTTACTGGGAATAATTTGCTTCTTTGCATGCAGCTATCAACTCTTCCATATTTTAAGTAGTTTTACAGTAAACTATGTGTTCCTTTTGAAGAATGAAATTAATTTGATATAGTAAAGTTATTATATATAATAATGAAGTGGGAAGAAGACAATACATGATAGAATACATCTCTCTTGGTATCTTTCTTTGTGTAATGTACCATGTATCTTCCAGAGTACTTGGCAGGCCTGTAGCAACTATTTTCTAAAACAATGAACTGTGTAAGGATAAGCTTCTAAAGTCAACCAGTCATGTGCACCTGCCATGTCAGCACACTCACTACAGTAGCTCTGGAGTCTATTTGCATAACAGCTGGCATAAAGTGGACAACACTGTTCCCAGGAACAGTTAACAGGTATGTCTGTCCTGTGGGGTGGACACCATTCTATGCCTTCATCTTTTACAGGGGATATAGCGTGAAAAATGGCAGGAATAGGAAACCAAATGGTAGTTTTACATATAGCTTGCCTTTTCTCCTCTTCAAAGAGTCTTGGAACTTGTTGCACATTGTACAACACAGACATTTTTTATAAAGGCTAAATCAAAACCTCATCATATTGGGTATTATGTATAGAGCGCCACTCTTAGATCTCTGTATTTCCGAAGTACAGTAAGTCCCCAACATAGGAACATTCGAGTTGCACTTTCACAGGTGTACTGTATAAGACTCACAGTTGGCTCATGAACGAATCTGACTTACAAACAATTCCCCCTGAACATAATTTATTGTAATTATTGCAACAACACCTGAAAATACACAAAATTATTCCCAACTTACAGTTGAGGAAACTAAGGCACAGAAGATTTTAGTAATTTGCCCAGTGATGTGGTAAAGCCATGAACTGAACTACTAATGCATTTTAGTGTACTAAGAGGAAAGTTAAGCAACATGCAAAGCATTCTGACAATGATAGATTAACATCTAAGATAACAATGGAGAAAGCCAAGTGTAGAAGGAGTATTTGCACAGTGCCAATATGATAAACATTTCAGGATACGAGGGAGATGAAAGAGGCTGTGTGTGTGAAGGAGGCTTGGAGTGTAATTTAGGAAAGTTAAGTCTACACCTTTCATAAAGGGAGGTTCAGAAATAATACCCAGAACATAAGAAAATACAAGTAGAAGTAGAAGTTAAATCATAGAAGTAAGTACCAAAAGAGTCAACTTAAACAGTTCAAAGTAACTCTAAGGAAGAAGACTGTAAAGGAACAGCAGACTGTTTGTTGCTCTTGGTAAGGTCTTTTAGAACTACTTGACTCTGAAATATAATCATGCATAACTTTGATAACAATTAAAACTAAAACAAAAAAAAGATGTTCAGTACAACCATTTTGAAAAACTGGAAGAGAAAATGGACGTCCACAAAAAAAAAAACCTGCATAAGAATATTCACAGCAGTCTTATTCATAATATCTCTAAACTTAAAATGACCCAAATGTCCATCTCTAGATGAGCTGTAATATATTTATACAGCAGGGGTAAGAGAGATTTAAAACTTTCTGGAATGGAATAGAATACCTTCCTGCAATAAAAAAATGACCACTTCACTGATACAAAGTGAATGAATCTGAAAAACATGATACTGCACAAAGTAAGTCAGACACAAAAGAATATATACAGTACAATTTCATTTTTATGAAGTTGAATTATAAACCTAATCTACATCAAAAGAGCAAGAACACCGGGGGAAACAGGAAGGAATATGAGGGAGTTTCTCTAGGGTGATGTAACTTTTATATCTTGATAGCATGCATACTGCACAAGTATATGAATTTGTCAAAAGTTACCAATTTTGTACTTAAGATATTTGAATTTCACTGTACATAAATTTTTCCCCAATTACAATAAAACAAGCATTTAGGGGGGAAAGGGATGTCTTTATTTGACAAATATTTGACACTATTTACTGCTCTTAGACAAGAGTATCCTTAAATTGATCTCAAAAGAATTATTTAAGTTAAAAATTTTAAGTTATTATGTATTCAAAGAAATTCATGTATCCCTGTTGTTTGTATCCCTCAAATTCACGTTGCAATCCCCAATATAATGCTATTAGGAGGTGGCTCCTTTTAGAGGAAATTATGTCAGGCGGGTGAAGCCCTTATGGCTGGGATTAAGAGAGCTCTCTAGTCCTCCTTTTGCCTAGTGTGGAAGAAGGCCCTCAGTAGAACCCAACCATGCTGGCACCCTGACTTCCAGGCTCCCAAATCGGTGGTTTATAAACCACCAAATCCATGGTATGTACTTTGTTATAGCAGCCCAATCTGATTAGATATCTTCTTAACTTATGAATTACATATAAACAAATTGACAGTAACTACAACTTCCACTGACTCACTAACAAGAAGGGGGGGGAAGGGAAAGGGAAAGGGAAGGGGAAAGGGAAAGGGAAAGAAAGGGAAAAGCAAAGGGAAGGAAAGGAAGGAATAAAGAGCAAAGCAAGCAAGAAAGCAAAGCAAAGCAAAGCATATCCCTCTGTGGGTTTTTTAATGATCTATGATTCAGAAGTGAGAGATGGGACAGAAACTATGAAAAAAAAGTTATGGAAGCTAAACAAAAATCCAAAGATTAAAAGATGGGGTTGTTTAACTCACTTTAGTAGGCCCTGACTATTTCTATAGTCTAAATAGTTTTGCCTTATTAAATAATGACCCAAATTCTAACAATCACTTCAAAATATGAAAAATAACTTAAAAACATAAAAAAAAGTGTTCAATAAAGTCTCTTGACTCTAACTACAGAGAAGCAACCACTATTTTCTACTTCCTGTGCCTTCTTTCATCATTATCCTATTTATCTACATAAAATAAAGTCATTGTATGTGTGTGGATTTCCAAAAAAGCCCGAAGAAAACACCAATTTTGGGGGGGCATATTTACCTTTCCTTTTAAAAAACCCAACTGTGTCTTGTGTATCATTCTAGGATACTACTCTACATTAGCACATAGAAATCTGTCTTGTTTTTGCTGTGTAACATTGCATTATTTGGGTATACTATAATTAATTTGATCCATCACAAATGACAGCTATTAGGGCATTTGCAGATTTTTACTGTTACATACACTTCTATAATGAAACCCTGAACAAAATCTTTGGTCATGTACATGACTGAATTTGTACATTTGCTAGATTAAAACTAAACTTGCCCAGGGCAAATACTATGTCCCAGAAAGAAAAAGGTTACCTGCCTGCCTACCTTAGGACTTGGAAATCTATCTGGCAATGTTACAATTGCTTCTGTTCTGCTACATGATCAGAGTTGAGAAGACCTTTGTAAATGGGGCTAACCAACATACTGTACGTGTTAACTCCTACGAATGCAACTTCCAAACAACAATTCTCTTTCCAAAATGTGACTCAAAACACAGATCTAAAACCTGTAAATGAGTGGTGCATATGGGAGAAACATGGATTACCGTCTCCAGTTCTTTCTGGGCTTGGCTCCAGATTCTTTCTCCTCATCTTTAAATGCAATCAAATGTCAGATCTTTTTAAAAACAAAACCTGGAAAAGAGCCCTCATGTGTACAACTTCCCTGCTATGTAGAAAGAACAAACACAGCTCTTTAATATCTATTCAGGGTTAACCTAAACTGACTCCGTCATCCAACAGGCCAAAGAAATCACTTTTGCTGATCAGTCATAAATATTATATTAACTGCCAAATTCAATGAAAACTTTTTTTTCAATTCTTCTGCCTTTGAAGCTTCCTTTGCGAGAGCCTATTCTAGCCAATATTTAAACACTGAAATTTCCTGGGTTTTTACCCATTTTCTTTTGTCAATCCAGATTAGCAATCTTTTTCTTGTATTTAATTTTGCTGATGAGTTCTAATTCTATTTATCACTACCTCAAATCTCTCTCCAATGTAACTGCTAGATTCCCCATAAGTATCAAAAGTGTCCACATGTAAACAATCCTCTTACATATCAAACTCCAGGGTTCCCAATCTTGTGTAGCAGTGCCATTTTCTAGCCAGTACTTCAAGCCATACCCTACCCAGAAATCATACTGGATCCTATTCTGGCTCTTTTCTCTTTATCCACATAGTCCTCAAATATACTCATGAAATCTAGTTTTACTGAACTCCTTCATAATTTCAATAGTCTTTCTAGTTTGATCCCTCCTGGTTAGACTTCAATTTTCCATATGCTAGAGACAATTAATCCTTAGAATACAACTATGATCATTTCATGTTCTACCTCAAATGCGTTAACAGTCTGCCATCTTCACACAAATTCAGGATAAAAGATATTTTGAAATCCAGCTCTTGCTTACCCTTTCAACCTTATGGAAAGCCCTCTTTCCTCAAGTACTGAACCTCCAATAATTCCAAATTAGCTGCTGTTTCCTGTACACAACATATTTTCTTCCCAACTCCATGGCTCTTCATCCTCTGTTTCAACTAGCCAATTCCTATTTGTCTTTCAAAATTTGGTTAAAATCATCTCCTGGAAAATGGTCTTTATGTTTTTAATTTTAATGTAATATGAGTAGATATTAATGAAGAAAATATAAAAAAGGACTCTTCTATGAAAAAAACAATTTCATAACAATAGAGATAACAATAGTTAATATGCTATGTATCATGATCTTAAAAGAATGACCAAAATGTTACTCACAGTGCAAGTCATACACAAAAAAGATTCTCTCTTGTAAGAGGAAGAAACAAATAAAAGGACAAAACTTTCTTTCAGTGAACAAAGAGAAACTAAGAGTATAATTAAAACAAAAGAGTATATATCATAAAATATTTTTGAAAGAACTGAATAGATAATTTGGGGAATTATTTGAACTTCTCCCTACTTATTAATCTATCTTCCATTCTGTGCTCTCTCATGTTCACTCTGTCATATATACATATATATGTGTGGATGTAAATATATGTATATATATACATACATAATCTATCTCAGGTAACAGAACCCATGCAATATTTAAGCTTGGGTGTCCGATTTATTTCACTTAATATTACAGTTTCAAGTTGTATCCATTTGCCTGCCAGTGCCTCAAGTTTATCTTTCTTTATGGCAGAGTAGCACAACTCTATAATGTATAAATACAATGTTTTTCTTTACTCATTTATCTATTGATGAACATATATAGTACACTGTCTCCAGGATTTAGCTATTATAAACTGTGCTGTATAAACGCGGATATCCCTGTAATATAATGACTTTAACTTTCTGGGAAGATACCTAGACAGAAAATAGTTGGGTTAAATGGAATTTCTATTTTTAATATTTTGAAGAGTCTCCACACTGATTTCCATGGTGGTTATACTAATTTACATTTCTACCAACAATGTAGAAGAGTTCTTTTTTCCCCCATCCTCACCAGCATGTTGCTTTCTTGATGATGGCCATTCTTTCTGGGGTAAGATGGTATTTCAATGTAGTTGTAATTTGCATTTCTCTGATGGCCACTGATGTTGAACATCTTTTCATTTACAGTAAGTCCCTGACTTCTGTTCTGAGAATTAATTGTTACGTCAGATTCATTCTGAAGCCTAAGCAGATAAAGTGAGTCTTACACACTCTACCTGTGAAAGTTTGCAACTCGAATGTTCATAAGTCAGGGACTTACTGTATTTATTGGCCATTTGTACTACTTCTTCTGTGAAGTGGTTATTCACTTCAGATGCCCATTTTTATACTGGGTCTTTTATTTGGGGGGGGTCTAATTTTTTTGAGTTCTTTATATATTCTAGATGGTGTTTTTTTCCCATTTTGTAGGTTGACTCTTCACCCTCTTGTTTCTTTTGCAGTGCAGAACCTTTTAAATTTGATATGATCCCATTTGTTGATTTTCAGTATTATTTCTTGTGCCATAGGGTTCTATTCAGAAAGTCCTTGCCTATGCTGAAGTCTTCAAGAATTTTACCTATTTATCTTCCAGCAGATTAAGTGTTTCTGTTCTAACATTTAGATCTTTGGTCCATTTTGACTTTAGCTTAGTATATGGGGAGATAGGTATATGGGTTGAGATTTAATACTCTGTATATGGCTATCCAATGTTCCCAGAATCATTTTTAAAAGAGACTATCTTTCCTCCAGTGTATATCTTTTGCCCCTTTTCTGGAAAATGGTCTTTAATCCCTCTGGGTTAAATAAGGTAGTCAGTTTATATACTGATGGCACTCTGTTTTCATTATCCTGTAATGAATGTGTTGGTTGCCTTAGCAATTGTAACTAACCATAAGCAACTTGAAATGGCATTGAGCATGGTTCTTGCCACACAGTAATTGCTCTAGAAATGGTACTGAATTAATGAAGCAAAGATAGATGCTGTGAGTCACTTTCTGTAGTTTTTTTAACCTTCCCACTCTCCATTTGCCTTGCATTAACTGTTAAAAAGAAAGATAAAGGGGCCGGGGATTTAGCTCAGTGGTTCCACCGCCTGCCTTGCAAGCGGAAGGTCCTGAGTGTGTGGGTGGAAGGAAGGAAGGAAGATCAAATGTGTGTGAGAGGTTGTCAGTTGTCTATAAAAAGTTTAAGTGTTTATGTTTACATCTTGGTAACAATATATTAAAGGTTACAAAGCTAATCCAGATCCTTCTAACCCAAAAAGGCATTAAAATTTAGTGTATTAATTTTTATAGCAAATATCTTAAATTATAGCCCTTGAACTTGCCTTTAAAATTTTTAAAAACCTTAAAATGAAAAGCAGTAGTTACACAAATTCTTAACTAGAAACTAAATTTAATTTCATATTCTATGATTACTATGCACATTCCTATTTCAGACAAGCCTAATTTTTTATAACATTTCTAATATCAACCTATGATTATTGTATGGAAAAGAATTTTCTTTTAATAATGTTTAACTGTAAATGCTTTCAGGGCTGGGGATGAAGGACAATGGTAGATCATCTGCCTTATGTGCTCAAAGTAAATGAAAATATGATGTCCAACATATGAAGACAATAAAAACTGATGATAAAATGGCACCAGGGAAAAAACATTATTAGTCAATTTAAAACAATCATCAGGGGCTGAGGATTTAGCTCAGTGGTTCTGCCACCTGCTTTGCAAGCGCAAGGTCCTGAGTTCGATCCCCGGTACCAAAAAAAAAAAAAGTGTTAATAAACAATCATCATATAGAAATGTAACCCTCAAAACAAAACATACTACAATTTATTGCTCACCTTTAAAGCTCCATAACACAATCCATACAATAAGGCCACTGCCACAATACTACAGATAAAACTGTAAAGTGCTGCAAGCAGACTTGTGGTGGCTAGACAGTAAAGGAAGAAAGATATTTTATAAACATCTATGGAAAAAAATTAAAAGGTCACAAAAACGCATTCAAAATATTATGTCACTATAATTAACTATAATACTTGTTTGACTTTTAAACATTCAGTTATTTCACTTTGTATTTGCCAAAATCTTTGACATGCCAAAGATTTTCTATCTCCAATCTTTGATATAAGATAAAATATATTCATCTCATAGCAGAAAAAAATACTGATGGTATCTTTCAAGACATTTTATACTAACATAAAATACTGGGAAATGAAGTTTGCAGATATATTAATTACTGAGATCTGTGTGAAAAAAATTTTTATGTTACCCACAGAAATAAATTTGTATTTCTATGTATTAATTCTCACCAAAAAAGTGCAGATTTAACCACTAACAATAACAACAAAAGAGATCCAATGGGACTACTGATAATAAGAAACAAAGATGGTTAAGATGGCTAGACTTTATTTTTAAAATACATGTGACAGATTTTCTTTAGTTAATTTATGCTGTGGTCATAAATCTATAGAAAAATTTTGTTTATGAGAGATTAAGAACATAATACCCTGCACAAGTTTGTAAATAAACTTATGCCAAAGTCTACTCTTATAAATTACCTACAAAAATCCCTCACCAGCTATTTAAATGAAACACTGCTAACCATCCCTAGATGCTAAAACTGGAGATGTATTTAAATGTAACATTCTTAACAATCCCTAGATACTAGAGGATGACATCTATCTATTAAGCCGTGCTGGTTGATTATCAGCTGTTTTAAATTACATGCCTCCAGAAAAATTTTAAACATTAAAAAATACTCTAGCATAATACATAGCAACACAGAAAAAGTTTAGTTTCTATTTAAAAGTTAAGGCAACGTTTTATCAGCAGAGATTATTTTAATACACACACAGTACTTAGAAGATAAATAAGGAGTGCAAATATGAAGTGTGAAGAAACAGTGGACTATAAAATTATAGCATTTCCCTTCCTTTTCAAATATTTTCTGTGTTTGCATGCTCTTCTTTTGGTAAAATGTTAAATAGTTGTAGCAAATAATGGTAAACCATGGTAGTTGTGAATAAAGTTCTGAACACCATCGTCAATTTCAGAGTAATACTCGTATGATCTTATTTTTTAAAACAAAATAAACATATATGATAGAGGAATAATTTCCTAAGTTATCAAGTTATAGCCACACATTCTACTCTAAAAAACAAAAATATTTCTTAAAAAGCTTATTTAGGGCCAGGGATTTAGCTCAGTGGTTTCGCCACCTGCTACGGAAGCACAAGGACCCGAGGTCGATCCCCGGTACCAAAAAAAAGCTTATTTAGTAAGAAAAATGCTTTTAGATTTTGGTTTTGGTTTTCTATTCAAAAGATAAAGCTCTGAAATAAAAAATATAGACATATGAAAGCAAAATATCACTTCAAAATCCAAATATAATGCTATGCATCAGACCTTAATTTGAAATAGATCTTTTACAAATATCTCCTAAGTTTATATACTGGTTCCATGTAAACTCTCTACAGTAGCTGTCCCCTCCCATCTGCAGTTTCATTTCCTTTTTCAATTTCAATTACCTGTGGTCAACTTCAGCCCCAAAGAATTAAATGGAAAATCTCAAGAGAAAGGAAGAGACCAACCACATCCATATAACGTTTACACAGTATATTGGTGTTATGGTTCTATTTTATGGTTAGTTATTCCTGTTAATCTATTACTGTACCTAATTTATACATTAAACTTTATCACAGGCATGTATATACAGCATAGGAAAAGGCAGGATGGATGAAGTTTTATTCTATGGTATTCACTGAGGGTCTCAGAATGTATCACCCATGTTGAAGAAAAAAACAACTGTACATATAACTTTAACTTTCAGACATTACTTTATTACTTCTTACACATTAATTCCATTATTCCTAGCTTTTTCACTAAAGTTGCAAACTTGACTACTTTTTCCTTTCTACAAATTAACTGCTTTTCAGTCTTCAATTTTTAAATGTGTCCTTTGTGTATTATTAATTTTAAAATGAAAATGGGAAAAGTATTTCAATATTTAGTTTCTTACTTCATAATCTATAAAAGTGACAATGTAATCTGTAATTTTTATAAAGAAGTACTCACCATTACCACCAAAGATATGAATATCCAATTGTTCACAAAGATACATTACAAATGTGTTCACCTGGGGCAGGAGACCAATGAAAAATACTACTGGGAAACACAGTGTAAACACTATAGAAGGAAAGAAGAATATATTAAAAAATATATTGTATTCCTCCTTTTGTTCATTTAAAGATCATAATGAGAAAACCCTAAATTAATATAAAATGACTAAGCAATTTTAAGATAAAATTAAAAATTATTGCTATACAACTGACTATTCAATAAAATCTTTCAACTATAAACAGTACCTTTTAAAATTATTTCAGCCATTTTCACATAAAAGGAACCTAAAATAAAGAATTTTTTAAACTCTCCATTGCATCTTCAAGAAAAATAGAATTACTACAATATTTGTTCATTATTGGCTTTTTCACTCATCATAGTGCTACAGTTTTGTTCCTTAGAAAGGATGACATCAAACAGCAAACTAAGCTTATTAAACTATTCTGACTTATATAATAGATTTATCATGGAACTGTTTGAAAACAAATAATGTTAAGATCAGAGATATTTTAAAGATGACTCACCTATAACTAAATCCCTGGCTGATATAAACACCAGTGGATTGGTGAAAGTTATTCCATATAATTTGAACTTGGTTGTAGTAAGATTTCTGCTACCATAATCCAAGAGCCAAATAAGACCACAACATAAACAGAAGTAAACTGGTCTACTGTAAGCAATGATACGATTATGACCCTGCAAATGATATATATTCAAAAAGTCAGTTTAGTTAATTTTAAGAGTTACATCAGCTGTTGAGATCACTCATGGCTTATATTCTCAGGATGCAAAATATTTCCATGTGGAAAGCAGAAGGGAATGAAAAATATTTTAGGAAGAAGAAAGAATAAAATGAATACTATGAAACTGGATTAGAATTACAGGTGTCCGTATGAACTCATTATTTTAATATGTATATAAATTGATACATGAATAGATAGGTATGTATACCCACATACATGTATGTACATGTATATATTTCCGATCTTCATCTACTGAGATGACCTTGAAGCTATGATATTCTAGCAACAAAGATTACTAGCATCTAAATCTTAGTTTACAAATAACACTGTTCATGAAAAAGAACCAGGGTTTCCTAAAGGAGAGGTTGGTTTAGGGTTAGGGTAGGGGAAGTGTTAAGATCAACCTGGAACACGTTGTTACTACAAAAAGAAGTAGTTAAGGAATGACAAAAACAAGTCCAAAGAACACAGAAAGCAGTTTGATGGGGTCCCAATGGCCAAATCAGAGGCAATTTGAACATCAAAATAGATAATAGTGACATTACAGTTCACTTAGTAAAATAATCCATGAGTCCACACCAGTACATACATAAAGGCAAAAGGAAAAACTATTCCTTTTAGTAAAAAATTAAGGATAAATGTAGAAAGAGTGATGAAATTAGATAATCACAATCTGGCAACCATCAAATGATAACTGATTCAAGCAAGAAACACCAGTACATACTAAAACAAGTAGACAAAACTTTGTGGAATAGCAAAGCCTTTATACAGTCTCAAAGCATCTCCCAATGACATACTAAACACAAGAGAAAAACAGTAGCATATAGTAGAGTAACAGTCTTGAGGGGAGTGGGTAGGCGTTTGACTTCCTAGAGGGGACTTGGCAATGATGGACACATTTTTATCATCACAATTGGGTGGGGGTACTGCTACCATCAGGTGGAAAAGTCAGAAAGGATTCTAAAATGAACAGGACATCGCTTCTCGGCCTTTTGGCTAAGATCAAGTGTAAAATGAACAGGACACTGCCCCACTCCACCTCAACAAAGAACTGCCTAGACCCTGTCGTCAATATTGCAGAGACTTGAGAAAACCTACAGATACTACCTTCATCCAAAAGACCAAAGTAAGCATCATTATAAGAGGATAAATTATCATATTTGTGATGTTACACTAAAAACAACACATCACTTCTGCCTGTAACTAATCAAAGTCAAATTGTAGGATAGTGCATAAAACAACTGGCTATTAGCCACCAAAATTTTCAACATCATGAAAACAAAACACAAGAATTGCTTCAGGTTAAAGGAGACTTAAGAGACTAACTTAATCAAGGACTTTTTACTGCCAACTAAGACAATAGGTAAAAATTGAGGAAGATACGTAGATTGGAAAATGGTACTTCATTGATGTTAACATACTAACTTTGATGATTATGTTGAATGAATGTAAAAATGTCTCTAGGAAACATGCAGTGAGTTATAGAGTGGTAAAGGGGCATCATGTCTGCAAGGAGAAAGGGGGAAAGGAGGAGAGAGACGGAGATAGAGATACAGGGAGAAAAGAGATCACATGCCAGAAGAGGATTAAACAAATATGGTAAAAGGTTAACAGGACATTTGGGTGAATGGTTTCAGAATTTTTTAATATCTTTGTAACTTTTCTTTAAGCCTGAAATTACAACAAAATATAAAGCTAAAAAGCAATGCTTCCATATATCATTACCCTTTAAAAATATTCTTACAAAATAATAATCAGTCAAAAGAAAACCATTTCCTTCCTTGTTTTCTTTGACTCATCTATTGCTATTAGCTATTCTAATGTACGAATAAAAAGTTATATTCATGAAAGTTTACTTTTGAACTATTTTAAAGACAATTTCTATTGAATATTCAGACTAGATCTAAAACAGATCATATGTCATATAAATACTGCTAAGCAGATATTTTTGTATAGTCACAAAGTAAATAACAAGGTTTTCATTTCATTACTTAGCTCAACAGTCTTAATTCCAGGCTAATTAATGTATTACACTTTTACTTTGCTCCCAATTACTATCAAAGCAAAATAAGTTTTCCCTCTTCAAAATTCTACTTGTCAATACTTATTCACAATTATTCAAAATTTATTAAATGCAAATAATCAAATCACGAGTTTATATGAATTATGTCTAAATTGATAACTTCCTCTTGAAACAGGCTGTCAAAAAATCAATTATTATGCTCATTTCAACCAAGATTTAGAGTCTACCAGTACAATGTCACTTTACTGCATGCTAATAAATCACCTATACAGTGTGCTGAAACTTAGATGAGAAAATAATAACATAAATCTTAAGTTGGTCCAATGCATGCGGGGGGGGGGGCTTTGATAAATGTTAATGAACTATGAGTTACAGCCATATCAAGAGTAACTTACATGTCTGGGAGAAGAAGAATCTGGCTGAACACTCTAAAAATAAAACAGAAAGATAGATTATGCTACCGAAGTCTCAGTAATTTTATAAACAACTTTCAAAATGCCAGAAGTGATTTCAAGTAAACATACAGTCAAAAGCTGACCTACATTAATTAATTCTATTCCAAAGATGAAACATCAGCTCTAAACACCAGTGCCACTGTAATATTAAAAATTCTCATGTTTTCCCAGAATCTTATTTATTTTGGTTAATTAACAATTTTAATCTATCTAGCTTACTATTTTTGAAAAGGCATAAGGTAGACAAATTCATCTTACTATGTGGCTCATTAGTACACATAAATATAGTTAATGTAGAATTCTTTCTCATGAAACATCACTGTATTGAGAAAATGCATAATTAACATTGGTTGGCTTACAGTTCTGCCTACAGATTCCAAGCTTAGTAGACAATTCAGTGGTATTTGTATTAATTATGTCCATTTGCATATCAAAATAACCAAGGCAGTTCAGCTCTTACCTTGTAAGAGATTTATTAATTTCCTACAAAAATTATTCTAATGGTATTACATAGCTACTTCTCAAATCTTAACTTTTCTTCCAAATTCTAGTTCATTTTTTCCTCCCAATGGTTTACCAAACAATTTCACCAGGCTGGTCTTTCACCACCTTACAATTCCACATTGATCAATTTCACTGAATTTGGCATCTGGCCCTCTGCTGGATTATGAGTTCAGGTAATTCGTAAACTCTTTCAGCTTCAACACCTGACTTCTAAAGACTTTTTTTCTCCAGCCTTTCTCATTTCTGCTATGACATTATTATTCTTCTAGTCAATTATCTTCAAAACTCTGTCAGCTTTTCCCTATTTAACCATATTAACTTGAAAGTAGTAAAGAAAATTAATAGGATAAGAGACACTCTACAGAAGGAATGAACTTAAAAGGCTAAAGGGAATAATGGGATAGTGGTTGAAATAAATCCAAGAATGAGAAGAGCGCTTGCTTACCATGCAGGAGCCTGTTTTGATTCCCAACACCACAAAAATTAAAACATTGTTAAAAAGAAAAAGAAAGGTAAGAAAAAAGATCAATGATTTTAACATAAAGCCATCAAGTTTAATAAAAGGGACTTGGTTATTTGTTGTCAAGAAATTGAGAAGGAAGGAGCGTAGATTTTAGGAGTTTGAATTAATATATTATGGTCAAAACCAAAGAAATGGGAAAGGAAAATATTAATTAGAAGATGATAATGTGCTATTCTTTACTAAAGCTTGTGAAAAAGGTGAAGACATTGAGAAATAAATCTGGACTTAACTCATATAAAGAGGCAACAAATAAAGTAATAAAAAAAAGGATGATTTCCCTGGCAAGGAACTGCAAACTGAGAAAAAGGTCAAATAAAACCCTACAGAATTTTCATAAATTAAAAAGAGGCTGAAGGAACCAAAAGGCATGAGCAAAGGCAAAGAGAGTTGTCTTCAGCTTCCAAGAACTACTGGGGTTGTGCAAAGACACAGAGCAGTAGTCAGCAGGCCATGGACATGGAAGAAGGTATTAACAGATGTTAAATGACATGCCACCCACAGAAAATGGGGAGACAGAGGGCCTACAATTAGCACTCAGAGTGATTATAAGCAACCACAAAGACTGTAGTTTCAGTACTGCAATGAGGAAAGCAAGCACGGACAGGTCTTAAAGAAATGGTAGCAGATGACCTAGGTAACCTAGATGACTAAAACTGGCTTATTCCACTTAGAAAGGGAACAAGAGAAAAGAAAGGACAACTGAGAGTATAAATAGATCTAAACAATTACGAGTCTCGAGAAGGGCTCTTTCAAACTAACACGTACAAGGCAAATAATCAATACAAAGCAAAGGGAAACTAAGAAAGACAGGAAATAATCCATATTTATAGTCCACACCCATTTTAAACAAAAGGTGAAAATTTTATTGTACATAAATTGGTATATTTGATTCTCTCATTTTTTAAAGCTTAAAATTGACAGCAATTGGTATGTGTGAGCCATTATTTAAAAAGTATCAATAGCTTCTCCTTTTGATGTTCCAAAATAATCTACTAGTGACAGATTTTAATAAATTTCACCCACAGAATACTCAAAAGATAGGAATGGGAAAGTTAATGTTAATAAATCAAAAAGGAACAAATTGCAAATTCTTACTTTAACAAATATTTTCTTTTAATTACAAAGAAATCATTTTTTAGGAAATTTAATTTACATAGTTTTTTAAAATTTATATCCCTATTTTGTTCTCTACATAATATAATGTAAATATCCCTGTCAGGAGCAATTCTACATAATTTTTTGGAAAAATTATTTTACAATGGAAATTATGATTAAGCCTAGTTTTTCTGCCTACAAGCCAGCTATGGTATGTCCAGACATAACTCCATTTTCGCCTCCTGTCACAGCTAAAACGTGAAGGGTCTGGTGATGCTGTGACACTCCAGGGCAAGATTACACTAGCTGAAGACATCTTGGGGAAGGAACAAAATCTTCACCTGTTACATTTGTTACTCTCCATGCACCCAACTTGCTGTCTTCTGAGTCATCTGTTACATCTGTTACTCCCAATGTATCAAACCACAGTCCTCTGAGTCATCTAGCGGGGGTCTTTCCTCTCTGCCGCCCAGAGCAGCACTGATCAGGCCCAAAGCTCAGCTTCTTCTCTAAGTCTCATTTTTCTACCTTTCCTGTCTACCTTGTGCTGTGGCTCACAGGAGACTAGAACTTACTTCAGAGGTTCTAGTTAACGTCTCCTTTCTCTGTTACCTACATATCCCAGGAAAATTAATCCAAAAATTAACTTATTATTCAATGAACGGTATGAAAACTTCTGATTTTTAACACAAATTTTATCTCACAACATGAAAAAAACCAGGCTCATACCTTCAGTAGTGAGTACTGACAGCTGGCTATGACCAGGCAGAACTGGAAGACCCAGATGTCTCTGAAGAAGCCTTGTATAAGAAGAATGGATCCCAAAAAAGCCACAAGAATAGCCAAGATGACAGCTAATACATTTTCTAGGATCTCACGATTTCTGTAGAGAGAAATTTATGAGTAATTAAGAAGAAATTAAGCAGACTGAAAAAAGGAGTGACATCAAAGTGAAGCTGGCTGGAATGTATTTTCAGTAGACTACTAGGTTTGAATAGGGATCATACTGAAAAACTAGTTTCATGTGAACACAACACAAATTCTTATATACAAATAAAGCAGGATACAAACACTGTGGAGTTCCAATTACAATATACTGTAGCTTTCATTTCTATTATAAAAATTTTTTCTTAATATTTGCTTTTCTGGCAAGTTTGTTACAAAACAGCCAATTTGATGGCCAAAAAGTAGACATATAAAGAAAAAGTTAAGGCCAGGGATCGCAAGTGCAAGGTCCTGAGTTTGATCCCCGGTACCACACACACACAAAAAAGTTAAGTTTAAAAGGTAAAAAAACCTCAAAACAATTTCTAGAAAATTAAATTTGAAACATTTGTTATTTTATATGACAAAGTTTGTAACCAAATTTTGATACTAAGTTTTTTCTTTTCACTTGGAATAATCCCCAAACTCACTTATTAGAATTACAGGCTCTTCAGTATCTTGAGAATGAAAGTAGTGACAAAAACCACCATATCTGTCTCTATCAAGCTGCTGAAACAATTCTACATTTAGCAGCAAACTGACAATGTAAAAGGAAAATATGATGCCCAAGATATTAGAAATAGTAATGAAGGTGATTTTTATGCTATCTCAAAAACTTAATCTACCTCATTACTTCTTGGGGAAATTTTATTTATAAAATGCTAAACCACTACTTGCTCAAGTTATATATTTTAACAAGTCTTAAACGACATGGAAATATGCTCATCTCATTTGCTATCTGAAGAAAGCAGGACACAAAACCAAGCATATACTAAGATGTTGTTATTAAAAACACATACATATATTGGGCTGGGGATTTAGCTCAGTAGTTTCGCCGCCTGCTGCGCAAGCGCAAGGACCCAAGTTCGATCCCCAGTACCAAAAAAAAACCAAACAAACCATATACATATAGGTTAAAAATGACAATAAGCCAAGAATGACATTCTAATAATGGTTCTCCATAGAGGGATTGAGGTTCTCATATCTTCAAAATTTTCTACATATTTACATTTTTTCAATGAACGAAATACTGAAATCATAATTTTTAAATTATTTAATAATACAATGCCACATTTAGAATCAGTTAGGCCTAAAAATTCAAACATCTCTGTACTATTTCATTTAATAGTTCTACCAGATTACAAAAGTTTATCAACAGTATTTTCCAATCAATAAACTATTGGTATTTCCATCTGCTCTTAGATGGCAGGTTATCAATTCCAGATTTGCCCAATCTGATGACTCCTTTCTACTTGTCTTGCCCTGCACACTGTCTCCCTTATAGGTGAATATGTGATTTCCTTTAGCCTTTAAAAAATTTTCAACACTGTGGATCCAATTTACCCACCAGTTCTTTTAGTAATCTCATTTTTGGTGTCATGGCTAAGAAATTTTTCCTAATCTAAGTTTATAAAAAGTTTCTCCTATATTTTGTTTTGTTCTGAACTTTTACTGTTTTAGGACTCTCATTTAATTCTATGATCCATTTTCAATTAACTTTGTAATATGGTACAAGGTAAGGACACAAGTTCTTTATTTTTATTTACTTTTTGTATATGGAAATCAATTGTTAAAAAGACTGTTTTCTACTTCAGTGATTTGGATATTATTTTGATGCCATCTGAGACTGGTGTTTTTTTTTGTAGTAAGGTTTCTGACTATAATTTCCATAGGACAATTAAAGTCATATATTTCTTTCCTTTTCTTTCCTGGTACGGGGGATGGAACTCAGGACCTTGTGCTTGCAAGGCAGGCGGCAGCACCACTGAGCTAAATCCCGGGCCCTAAAGTCATGTATTTCTATTAGATGTACTGAGAATGTATGTCCTTCAAGAAACTTACCCATTGTGAAATTTATTTACATACAGCTGTTCATAATACAATGGTACCTTGGTTCACAAACTTAATTTGTCCCTCAATTCTGGAAAAAGGGGCTAGGTTCATGTTTGTGTGGTAAAGATGTCCATAGTCATGTTCATCACTCACTGCAGAGTTCACAAACAAAAAGAAAATTTTGCCAAACACCTTTTTTGTGAACCAAATTGTTCATGAACTGAGGTACCATTGTATTTTATTATTCTTTTAATACCTGTAGAATTTGCAATGATAAAGCTCACATGTCTGCTATTGGTAGTATTGTGTCCTTTTTTGGTGATCAGCGTGGCTAAAGGTTTAGCAATTTCATCAACGTTTCCAAAGAAGCAGCTTTTGGTTTCCTTGATTTTCTGTACCGTTTTGTTTTGTTTTGGGTTTTCTTCCTGTTTGCTCTCAGAATTCTGTTTTATTCTTTACTATTTTCTTTCCTCTCCTTAACTAGGCTTAATGTGTACTTGTTCTTCTAGGTTCCCAAAATGGAAGGTGAATTCACTGATTTGAGAGCTTTGTTTTCTGATCTAGGTTATTTAAGACTAGCAGGGCTGGGTATTTAGCTCAGTGGTTTCGCCGCCTGCTGTGCAAGCGCAATGGACCCGAGTTCGATCCCCGGCACCAAAAAAAAAGACTAGCAAATTTTCCAAAGTACGTTAGTGGAATCCCAAAAATTCCAATATATTGTTTTCACTTTTGTCTAGCTCAAAACTTTCTCCTTTCCCTCGTTTCTTTCATGAAAAGAAATATTATTTAGTTTATTATAATTTAATTTCATTGTAGTAGAGATATTATCTGAATCCTTTTTAAAATTTGTTGACTCTTAAACAAACAAACAAACAAAAAATTTGTTGACTCTTTTATTGTGGCCTAGAATATGATCTTGGTAATGCTCTATGAGCATTTAAAAGAATATATATTCTCCCATGTTTATTGCAGCACAATAAAGATATGGAAACAGTCTCGATGCTCACCACATGAATGGACAAAGGAAATGTGGTGTATATTTACACAATGGAATATTATTAGCTATAAAGAAGAATGAAATTCTGTCATTTAAAAGAAAATGCATGACCTGGAAATTATGATGTTGAACAAAATAAGCCAGGCTCTAAGTCAAATATTGCATGTTCTCCCTAATACGTGGAATCTAAAACAAAAAAGACAAGAAGGTAGAAGGGAGACTATTATAAGACAAGAGGAAGGGAATAAGTGGGAGGGAGAGGGAGGTGTAAGGGTGACTACTTCGGGGGAAGCCATTAGTAAAAGAATACACAATGAACACCCCCCCACCATGTAAAACTAAGGGGGCGGGCAGGGAGGGTAGGATGAGTGATGGTAACATACTAAGCAAAGTACGTTACATGCATTTACAAATATAACCTGTATAATCAATTTTTTAAAAGTGATAAAAAATAGAACAGTATTAAAAAGAATATTCTCATTATGGGCAGATTACTCCATAAACATCAATCAATTCAGATTGGCTAATCAAGTCTACCATATCCTCTCTGCTACAGTTTGGCTCTTGAATGTCCCTCAAAGGCCTTACACAGAAAGCTTAGTCCCCAACCTGTGGCACAATTGGAAGTGGTAGAACTTTTAAAAGGCCTTGTTAGTGGAAGGAAGCTAGGTCATTGAATGCATACTTGAAGGGGCTATTCAGACTTAGCCTCCTCTTTTTTCTCTCTTTGCTTCCTGGGTACCATGAAGTGAACAGCATCCTCCATCATGTGCTCCCACCATAATATACTGCTTTGTCGTAAGTCCAAAAGCAAAGGGCCAAGTGACCATGGACTAAAGCCTCCAAAACTATGAGCCAAACAAACCTTTCCTCTTTGTAAGCTGTCTTGGGTATTTTGTCACAGAAATGAAAAGCTGGCTGTTTTCTTCCTACATATTTAGTCTATTAATTATTTAAAGAGGAATGCTGCAATCAGCTATAATTGTAGGTTTGTTTATCTTATTTTTGTAGCCTTTTGCTTTGTTTCTAAGGTGGTGGTACTAAAGATCAAAACCAAAGCTTTGCACATACTAAACGTGTTCTACCACTGACTTATACCTCCAGCCCATATATAGTCTGAAGCTCTGTTTTAGATGCAAAACTGCTGAAGATTATTAAACCTTACATGTTTATTGCCCCCTTTTCATTATAAAAATAATTTCATTATGAAATTTATTATGTGATAGTATTCTCTGTTCGGACTTTATCTAACATTTATACAGCTGGTCCAAAATTCTTTTTGCTAGTTTTAGCATGATTTATCTTTCTCTGTCTTTTTATTTTTAACCCATTTGTTTGTATATTTAAAGTACATTTCTTGTAGGCAGCATAGAATCTTTTGTTTTAATCCAGTCAAACAATTTTTAAATTTTTATGACTCTCTAATCTTGTCATTTGCTTTCTTGCCTGTCCTTTTTAGCTCATTTTAATGCTTTTTAAAACTAGAATAGTTTTTATTATTTTATTTTCTTTTTTGACATATTAGCTATAATTTTTATTGTTTTAGGGGTTGCATGCAGGGATGTCCAACCTGCAACCCATGGGCCCCTTGCCCCTTTTTAAAATTTTGTATTAAAAAAGATAAAGGAAGTTTTGTTGCTTACATACATTAACTGTATGATGTATTTTATATATGGTTCAAGACAATTCCTCTTCACTCAATGTAGTCCAGGCAAGACAAAAGGTTGGATACCCATGTTAGTTTATTATATATATTTTATGACACTATACCTTCAAAAGTGATGATATAAGAAACTCGTATACTTATTTTTCTCTCTTCTGAGTCTTTATACTGTTACTGTCATCAATATTACTTTTACATGCAATGAGCCACAAAATCCATTGTCACTTTGTTTAAACAGTCAATTATCTCTTAAGAGATTTAATTCTAAAGAAAAATATCTTATGTGTTTACTCATGTAGTTACTTAACATTCCTAGTGATCTTTATTCTTTTAGGTAGGTCTATACTTCTAACTGGTATCATTTTCCTTCTGCCTTAAAGAAATCCTTTAATATTTTTTGTAATGTGGGTCTACCTGTAAGAAAATCATCTAATTTTTCCTAGTCTGAAAATGTTTTTATATCTCCTTGCCTTTAAAAGAACATTTTTACTGGTACAGAATATTAGGTTGAAAATTCTTTTCCCTTCAAAAAGTTTTAAATATTTTTCTACTGTCTTCTCACTTTCAGTATTTCCAACAATAAAATTAATGTCTTTTTTTTTTTTTTTTTTTTTTGGTACTGGGGATTGAACTCAGGACCTTGCACTTACGAGGCAGGCGGTGGAACCAGTGAGGTAAATCCCTGGCCCAAAGTCTTCTTTTTCTTGTTCCTCCACACACAAAATTTTTTTTTTCCTTGCAGTTTTTAAGATTTTATCTCTAGTGTTGAGCAATTATGTACCTTGGTATAGTTTTCTTCAGGCTTCTTGTGCTTGGGCTCCACTAAGCTTTTTGAATGTATAATTACAGTTCTAATCAAATTTGGAAACTTTTCCATTATTTCATCAAAACTTTTTCTGTATACCTGTCTGGCCTTGCAGTTGTCCCACAGCTTACTCTCATTTTGCTTTTATGTTCCTTTCATGAGAGATTAGATTGGGGAGGTTCTGTTTTTATTTTTCTCTGTTTCACTTTGGATAGTTTCTATCATACGCCTTCAAGCTCACTAATCTCTTTTTCTATAATATGTAATCTATCCATTAATCCCATCTTGTGTATCTCTTTCCTTCTCTTCCTCCCTCCTGTTTTCTTTCTCTCTTTCCTCTCTTCTTCCCTCCCTCCCTTCTTTCCTTCCTTTCTTGTTGGGAAATGATCCCAGAGCCCCATATATACTATAATTTGGTACCATGTACCAATGAACTATAAGTGCTCTAGTGCATTTTTTTCCCCAGACATGGTAGTATTCAACTCTATAAATTTGATGTGAGACTTATTCTGCTAATTGTCATATCTGTGCCACTTACAGGTTGGTCTGTATTATTCTCTTCATTACAGGTCATGTTTTCTTGTTTCTTTGCACACCTGGTTATCTTTGACTGGATGCCAGGGAGGATGAATCTTAATTGGTATGTGGAGGGTATTTCTAGATTTCTATAAATCTTTATTATGAGTTTATTATGCTATGTGGAAACAGTTTGATCTCTTTAGGTCTTGCTTTTATGACTTGTTAGGTGGATCTAAAGTAGTGCTCATTAGGTGAATTTAAAGTAGTAGCTGCTTTTGTCTTCCTGGACCCCAACCCCTCAACTCAGGAAGTCTGCTGGACTCTCAGTTCTCCTGCTCTGTGTCACAGCCTAGGAACTCTTCACATTCCTGGGGCAACTGTAGGGGTCACATCATCTGTTTCCCATCTCTCAGGAATCAATGTCCTTCACTGTCTTATCTCCAATGTCATAAAGACCAGTTTCATGTATTTTGTCTGTTTTTGTTTGTTCACAAGGGAGGATAAATCTAGCACTGTTATTCCATATTGACTGGAAGTAGCTGTTAGTCACTAAGTTTTCAATACAACTAATGTGTTTACCATCAACGTAGTGTGCTAAGAAACAAGGAAACAGAATTTTTCTCTTATGACTTTTACACTGAGGATCATATTACCTACAGGATTAATAAGATTATCAATATTTCATATATTCTACATTTCAAGTACCAGTTGAATGACTGTTATTGATATTAAAAAATATCTTTATATAAACATTAAAATTTCAAAAAAGTTTTTAATAAAGAGAATCAATCTCAAGGGGACAAAAATAGAAAAAATTTTCCAACATGAAAATGCGTAAACAGGAAGACTTCAAATTAAGAATAAAATCTTCACATATTTTTCATATCCTACTATATCCTCACCTATCAAACAGAGCCAGAAGTGTGAGTCTGTCAAAGTTGATGCCAATCCATAGCTGGGGCAGGATCCAAAAGCGGTAATAATGTTTAACCTTTTGAGCAGCTTCTTCTGTTGGACCATAAGTTGCTGCCAAGTCAGGGCTTAGATCAATGTCCTGTTGTTCCAACAAATCTGTATCGATGGTCAATAGTCTATTCAACCGAATCTGTGGGAGAGAGAGCTAAGAGAAAGTCAGCACTGCAAAGCTTGAAATATTTTTAATCAAATCATGACTCAGAGTTACTCAATCAACTCATACATTTATCAAAGGTCTCAGATACTCTAATCCACACCTTGAGAAAACTATGATTGCTAGAAAGCACAGAAGGTAACAACAGAAAATAAACTGAAATAAAGAAAATTAACAGACTTTTGGGAAAGTTTTTATTAGGAAATGTGTTTGCAATCTTAAGATTTTATGCTTGTATAGCTAGCAAATCCATCAAAATCACTTGCAGTAAAGCATTAGTGACTTCTCCCTGTCACATCTATGCTCTTTTCTCATTAAGCTATGAATCTCATTGTTAATGACAAATCTGACCCCTTCAATTCTCATTTCTACATATGGTGTCCTATCACTGTTATTGCTGCTTTTAAATCTCCTTCTTTTGTTTTGGTTGGCTGCTCACCTGAGACTCTGCAGGAAGTTACTACACTGTATTTCTCTTCTAGTTAACCAGATCCTCAGTTACCCTTCACTGAAAACTTCATAAGTTTACTGTCTCTGGCACAGCATTAGGCAGTATTTTGCTATATCAAGGTTCCCAATATCATTTAAAAGTGGAAAACAATATAATCATCATCCTTGTTTTGCTTTCCTATTAAGTTTCCAGAAATACACAACAGCAAAAAGAAAAGTCTTTGCTTTTAAAATATGAATGTGAGTGTAGTCAAGAAAATTTGCTTCCCAGGGTCAGAGATTTAGCTAAGTGGTTCCACAGCCTGCCTCGCAAGCACAAGGTCCCGAATTCGATCCCTGGTCCAAAAAAAAGACAATTTGCTTCTCATATATAACACAGCTGTTTCTATTCTAAACTTTGACAGATACTTCACACAATACTTCTATCATCTATGCTAAGGTTTCTGAAATTTGGCACTACCAACATTTTGGGCCAGATAATCCTTGTGGGGGCTGTAGGATGTTCACAGCAGCCACTGTAGGATATTTCACAGCATCCCTACCCTCTATATATCTAGTACACGCTCCCAGTTATGACAAGCAGAAAATGTTTCCAGACACTGCCAAACAGCCACTGGTTGGAAACCACTGCTCTGCGCCAATTTACATCTATAGTTTTAGATCATTTTTCTTTTTTTTGCAGTACCGGGCCTTGGACTCATGACCTCGTGCTTGCGAGGCAGGCACAGTACCACTGAGCTAAATCTCCGGCCCTTACATCTATAGTTTTAAAACCCTACTCACAACTCATCTTCAGAAAGCCACTGAAGGTTAATTCCTTTGGCATTAAATTCACCTGTATATATATCTCTATGTGTTGCTTATAAGGATTTCACTCATTTTTTCTTTTCTAACCTGAAAATATAAATATATATATGTATATATATCTCGACGGCAAAAGCTATGTTTTTTTAATCCCTACTATATCTCATGTCATAATTTTTATACAGTAAAGTCATTACAACTACACCAAATCATAATACTTAAAGTGAGGCTGCCAAAGGGCACAATTAAAAATTACACAATCAGATTACACCTGTTGGTGAGTAAATGGACCTTTATATATTCTCAAAATATGAATAAGCATTTTGGGGGGATAATAAATTTCACGGTTTCTTGTTTGTTTCCTAGTGAAGGACTTATTAGGAGAGATCTGTTGTAAGAAAGGTGATTTTTGTGACCATTTTCAACAAAACTGACATTTTGAGATATAAATTTTTCTGATCTGTACAGCCAGCTATATAAATATACTTTTCAAATTTATCTGAAAATATATGTTACAAAAATAATGAAAAACCTACCACATCATGTGGGTAAAATCGCACTGAGGTAGAACTGGATACATGAGAGTCCGTGTCACTAAAAAAAAATGGATAAGAAGTCAGAGAATAAATAGCTCGTCAAACAGTGGAAAGAAAAATAAATGGCTTAACAACAGTTAAGATGATATTTATACTACTTTCATTTTTCCATGTCAACTTCAAAATGTAAAGTAGCATTTCCCAGATTTGTGATTAAGAGCATATCGTCTGGGCAGTGTCTGTGTCCAAATCTCTTCTTCGGCAAACACATTTTGGACAAGTTACCTAATTTCTTTATGCCTCCATTTTCTCATCAGTAACATAAGAGTGCCTGATCACAAGGTTCTTGTGAAACCATTTAAATGAGATAACCCAAAGAAAACAATTAATAAATTTCCTGGAATCATTAAAGATGAAATATGTATAAGCTAATATATAAAATAGCCTAGAATGTGAAATTGTTTCCATAGGTCAGTCAAGTTTGGATTTCAAAACTGGAGGCTTTTCCACATTTATAATGTAAGGAATCATTCTTCTCTTACATTACACTAAATATAACAAGTGTTTTCATTCCTCCACCCTTATAGGTTTCTACTGTTAAGAATGAGCTAACACCAATCCCAATTTAATAATTTTTTGATAGTAAATTCCTAACTGGACTGAATCAATATACTTAACTGAGTAACTGCAAGGCCCTATTGTCTTAAATGGCCCCTCAAAACTTAAAAAATGGGCCAGGAGGGCTGGGGATTTAGCTCAGTGGTTTCGTCGCCTGCTGTGTAAGCGCAAGGACCCGAGTTCAATCCCCAGTACCAAAAACAACAAAACCAACAAAAAAAATGGGCCAGGAGTAGTGGCACACACCTGTAATCCCAGTACTCTGGGAGGCTGAGGCAGGAAGATTGTGAGTTCAAGTCTCACCTGGGAACTTAGCGAGACCCTGTCTCAAAATAAGAAAAAAGAGGAGCAGGGCCAGCTGGGGATGTAGACCAGTACAAAAGCCTTGGCTTCAATCCTCAGTAGCACCAAAAAAAATTTTTTTAAATTAATGCACAAGTTAATTAACTAGAGTTAGCCACTCTATGAGGTATATAAGATTTCAAAATATGCTGTACACAAGTATATGCCATCTCTGTCAATTAAAAAAATTTAAAAAAAAAATTTTTTTTTTTGGTACCGGAGATCGAACTCAGGACCTTGTGCTTGCGAGGCAGGCATGGTGCCACTGAGCTAAATCCCTGGCCCAATAAAAAATTTTTCAACAAGCTTTTATTCCTTGAAGCTTAAAGTCTTTAAACATGGCAATTATACATAAGCACATATACACTCCTAACATGTCTTCACACATACCAGATATTGGATGCTCTTCTTGCTGCTGGTTCAAAATTCACAAGTGACATATCACAGCCACCAGTCTCATAGAGCGTAGACGAGAACTTACCTAGCAAATAAATGATTTTTTAAAAAAGCCGTTAGCATTCTAAGAATTTTTCCTTCATGATACACTAAATTTCATAACTTTTTACATTTAAACAATCATCTTTTTTCCAAATTATCTTAAAAACAATGATCTGCATGTAATTCAACATGATGTGAGTTCCAAAAGAATGCTAGACACTGGGGCAAGATGCCACCAACATGTATAATCAGTTAATAGTAAAAGTCATTTACGTCAGCTTTCTCTTTTCTCCTACCAGCACATTCAAGTAGTCATATGAATTAATCTAATGTTAAAAGCCACCTGACCACCTCTTGCAGGTGGTGAGTGGCCTTTTGCAAACCTGCTTAAGTTTGAGATAGTTCAAACTTCAAGACAACAAAGAAAAAATTTTTTAAGGAGAAATGAACTGTAAAAATGAATCTAAGGAAGTTCAAGACATTGAACAAGTTATAATGTTGGTCATAATTAAACTACTTAGTGAATATTGTTAGTAGTATGATTTTATTAAGGAGCTCTATGAGATATTTAGGAATAGTAATTGTTTTATCTAAATAGCTGTACAAACTGATAAAGGTTCAGAAATTAAATCTAGTTGCAAATGTATATAGATTTTTTAAAAAACTTCTTAGGAATTAAGCCCAATTTCTCAACTGTAAGACTGTTGCAATGGTCCATATATCTATCAACATGGCACTTTCTTAAATATAGTCTGCCTGGCTGTCTTACAAAAACAAACAAATGGCAACAACAAACACCTATACTGTTTTAAAATAAGCTTAATTGTACAAAATGATTTTTGATAACGGAATTGTAAAAATCTAGATACTGCCTTAAATGCATGTTTGAGGACCTATGGAGCCACATCAATAGTAGGAAGGAAGTATAAATAAATTAACATGAGATGAGGTGTATAATTTGGCAACCAGCTATGGATAGCCCAGGCTGCTTTTCAAGAATTTGCGGTTTTTGTTTTACCAGCTAGTGTTATTGAGGTTGTTAATAAATTTGAAAAATTTTAAAGGTCAGTATCAACTTTATGGCAAGGCTAAAACTCAGATTTTTCCATGCCTATAATGCAAATAGGACTCAATAAGAATTCTTAAAATTTATGTGAAATACTCGAAAGAAATGACAAAAAGAACCCATAATATGCTAATAATATAAGTAAGGATTTACAGAACATTTCAAATATTATTTCATTCTTTAAAAGGACTGGATCTAGAGAAAAAAAAACTTTAATAAACAAAACTGAGTACTTTCTATAGATTAAGAGACAGGATATGTAAAATTTTATTTTATTATGCTGTTTTCTGTAGCAGCATTTTTTCCAGCCAAAATAATATGCTCCTGGGATCAACTAAAAAAAGATTTTCTAAGCCGGGGATTTAGCTCAGTGGTTCTGGCGCCTGCCTCACAAGCGCAAGGTCCCGAATTCGATCCCCGGTACCAACAAAACAAAACAAAACAAACAAACCAAAAAGATTTTCTATAAAATACTCAGTTCATGTGCTGTATTTTTTTTTTCAAGGAAGGATTACTCAGCATGCAGATTATCTTAAGATTCTGCTTTCTCTCCCTTGTCTTTTAGTCATGGTTAACAAACAAAAATGAAATAACAAAAGCTGCCAATTAGCCAACTTCTTAGAAGGACTACTGATAGTTTTCTTCCAGGGGTAGAGAGTGGGCTGCAGAAATTACTAGTGAAAAAAATTAAAAAAACACTGGTTCAACTGAAATTTTAAATTTTTAATTATAATTTTATATTCTATTTTTTCCTTATTTATAATAATCAAAAATTAGTTGTGCTATCATAACTAAACTTTCATTAATAGAAAAAACACTTGATTAAAATCATAGTGATAGGTCTCCCACTACCTCAGCAGCTATTATGTATAGTAGCTGCCCTCTTCCTTTCGTGCCTTGCCCCTCCCCTGTGTGACATTATGCCAAGATGGCTGCTCCCACCAAAGAACAAACCCTTCTTCCCAGCATGCCCCTGTTCCCACCTAGAGAGTAACCTAATACTGCGCACCTCCTACCATCTAGTGATGTTACCAGGTCCTCCATTCCCTAGTTACTACCTCACTCAACCCCGCCTCAGCCCCTACAAACCCCACCCCAGTCTCTACAAAAGACTCTCCCTGCCCTGGCCTTATGGCTCTTGTCTCTCCTTTGTTCAGAGACAGCCTGGTAGATCAATTCCCCTAATAAAGGCTTGTTGTGGCCTGGTCTGGTCTTGGTCTTCGGCCTTTTACCTGACACACAGATTGCAAAAATGCTGAATTTTTATAAACTCATGTTAAATGACTAAATCACAGACTAGCAAAGAACAAGGAGAGTTTGGCTACTATGTATGAAGTCTAGTAAGGATGGAATGCATTCATTTCTTAGTGGTAACATGTAATTCATATGTATTTTAGAAATTAGTTAATTCTGTACTCTATAATAGTTTAAATTATTGCACTGTATTCTGAGTAAATTTTCTATAGGACTCTTATGAATTCTATTTTAGCACATTAAAAGTACATACAACTAAGCTCAACTAAAGATGTCTTCAAAATTTCAAATGGAATAGTGAAAGAATATTGTCATTTTACTATATATGTTGTCTTTTACAGATATTTAATATTACACTTAAATAAAATAGCATTTTAAATAAATACAAACATAAAATAAATAACAAAAAGCTTTTCTAGACAAAGAGAACTATAAAAATTGAATAGTTTTATTACTATTTAAATCTACAACTGAATGCTTCTATACAAACCAGTGATTATCAAGTGATAACATTCAGAAATTTAAACAGAAGAATAAAACATGTCTAAAGCTATAACTTTAACAGACGTGCATGCCTTCAGCAGTGTTTTATTTTCTTCCTTAAGAAGCTTGTATTTGTCTACTAAACTTTAGGAACACACCCAGGCTTTCAAAAACACATGGCACTTGTCAGAACAAACACACTGTAACCAGGCTTCATGGTACACAAAACCAACTTAACTACAGAAAAACAGTTCCACGTCCCACTTTATTTTTAAGTATGGCACAGGACAGCACTTAGAAGCATGAAATTTGATTGAGGAGATGAATCAGAAAAAAAAAATCATACTAAAAAATATACAGCTTAAAGATTCATTGAAAAATTTGGTAATATTTAATGTACTAACCTACCAAATAACCTCCCAAAAGCAGCTTAAAAATAACTGAAACTGAAAAAAGTATATATGCTGTTAGTTTATAAAAATTAAGACTATCTTAATTTAGCCCAGGTGTGGTGGCATACACCTGTAATCCCAGCACTTGGGAGGCTGAGGCAGGAAGACTGCCATGAATTCGAGGCCAGCCTAGATTACAGAGCAAGACCCTGTCTCAAAAAAAAAAAAAAAAATCTTAAGAGTAGTTTTTTAATTTGAAATCAAAACTATAACCATATTTAGAGTTAGATTCAAAATAAAGTATACCCTAGCTGAGTATGGTGGCATATACTTGTAACTGCAGCACTCTAGGTGGCTAAGACAGAAAGATCCCAAGATTGAGGTCAACCTGTACAACTTAGCAAGACACTGTCCCAAAATTAAAAAAAAAAATTAAAAGGGCTGGGGATGTAGCTCAGTGTGAAGGCCCTGGGTTCAATCTCCAGCACCACATATACCAAAAAAAAAAAAAAAAAGAAGTAAAATGTATGTTTATTATAATCTTATTTTAATATTACACTACATTAAGAAAAATATTTCAAATTAAATTATTAAATATAAACCAAAATGAAAAGAGAACATCAATGTAATATGTCCTGTTCATGCAAACTAATTATAAACTAAGCCATCTCTTTATGATTCAACTTCCAGCTCATAATTAATTATATGCGATAGAAAAGCTCCATCATGATTTAAGGAGGAAAAAGAAATCAATTTCTGGCAAAATATATGACTAGAAGCTGAAATTTCAGATTCATAAAAATTATATAGGCCATAACATCTTTAAGGAAAAAATAGTTGGGCATAGTGGCACATGTCTGTAATCCCAGTACTTGCGAGGCTGTGGCAGGAGGACTGCCAAGAGTTCAAGACCAGCCTAGACTACATACTGAGTTCAAGGCCAGCTGGACTAGTGAGAGCCTGTCTCAAAAAAAAAAAAAAAAAGTTAAGGTGCCTGGCATTTCTCATTCTTGAATATTCAACAATGAATGCAAATGTTCACAGAAATTTGTTAATTAATCATTTTTTTGAGTAGGAGAATTTCAAAGTAATTAGAGGTCAATAAATAAGTGATGAACAACAGGAAGATGAGAACTGGAGTAAAGACCAAGGACATGTGAATCATTTGCCTGAAGCTACGAATGACATAGCAGACAAATTCTAAATATACACTAGCAAAAGACTGATAAAAGACAAGAAGAAACGAGATTCTTGGAACTTCTACCAATAAAAATCCTTACCACATGACACAGAGATTAAGCACATCAAAAATTTTAAGATTCTTTTAATTCTTTGGGGAAGATCCCCAGCAGGAGTACTACTCAGCCATAAAAAATGAGAAATTAGAGACATTTATAGCTAAGTGGATGCACATTGAGGCGATACTCTTAAGTGAAATAAATAGG